TTTCGATGCTCATCTAGACTTGGTTTTCATTAATGATGTGGGTACCTATGTGACTCGCAAACGTGCTCTATTGTCTAGATCTGATCACTGTATAATTCGTGTTCTACCTAAAGTATATGGAAAACATGGGAATTGTACACACTTACATCATATCAAAAAAGTAATATATAGGAGTTACTCAGAAGAAAATATACAAAATCTGAAAAACATGTTTCATACGACTAACTGGGAATTATTTACAGATGACTCACTGAAAAACACTGATGCTATCACCTGTTATCTTAAGTTCTTTTTTGATATTTGCTGTCCTACTGAAACCTCCTTGTTAAGTTTTGAGCGACTTACATCCACACAAATAGAACGATTACGGAGGGTAAAAGAAATAATGTAGAAGGAGAAAATCCCATTAAATTTCGTAAGCTGAATGGTCTAATAAATCTAGAGATTGGACGTCTCAGCTCTCTGTTTACTCAAAAATTCCTATCTTATAAAAACTCGCCACGTACGTGGGAACTCTTTAAAGAAATAAAAGGGGACAAAAAGACTAGAAGCGATAACCATCTGAATGTTTGTGACTTAAATAAGTCCTTTGTAAGTCGGTCATCGGACATTATGCTCCCTATAACGACAAGTTTGTAGAATGATTGTGTTCACAGTTTCACTGAAAATGACGTCCGAAAATGGTTCAAATGGTTGAGGACGGAATAGAAGAAGCTATCGTTTAACGGGATTCCGTGTCTAGTATCAGTGGATCCCCAGTCACTTAATTCATCCCAATGTTTAGGACCTGATGGTATCCCAAACCCCCTTTTTTTAAAAATGTGCTGACGTTTTACGTTATCCATTCACGAATATCTTTAACAGATCCTTCTCAACTATTGTCTTACAGAAACTGTGGAGAAAGATAAAGATATTCCCTATACCAAAGGAAGTGTCCAGTGATAAAAGTGTGAAATTTAGACCCATAGCAATAACTTAACCTCTTTTCAAAATAATTGAAAAAATAGTGATTCTCCCACTTCAACTTGCAATAAAAGAGCACAGTGATCCATATAAGCTGGCCTATAAATGCAAAAGAAACATCTTAGATGCCGTTGCTGTTCTGCACCAAAATATAGTGTTCGGACTGGAAAGGGGTAAGGAGTATGTTCAGTGCGCTTTTCTGGACTATACTTCTGCTTTTGATTCTATTTTAATAGACCTCTTAATTAACAAGTTGATCAACGTCAACAATGACGGATGGATAACCAATTGGCTATGTTCCTACCTCTCTGGAAGAGAACAGTGCACTGTGTTTAGAGGAAAGTGTTCAACGTATCTGATGTTTTATAAAGATGTACCACAAGGAGCTGTTATTTCACCTCTGCTCTTCTCTTTTTTTCTGCATGATCTGTCATCTTCCACAAAAAGCACTTTTGTGAAATATGCGGACAACCTCACTGTATGTATGCCCATTGAAATGAACAAATTTTTATCTCGTATTGAATGGTGATCTGTTGATAATGGTCTCTTACTTAATCCATCTAGAATATCAAGCTGTTAACTTTTGCTTGGAAAATGGATAGAACCAGTACACTATTTCGGGATCCCATAATGCTTGTGCAATTGGAGATTCCTTGATACACACAAAGTCGAAGGTGAATTATCTTGGTGTTACTTTTTCCTCTAATATCTTTTGGTATTCTCATGTTTTTCTGTTATCGAAAAAGTTTGCCATTTGACTTACTACATAAATAGGCTGCATGTTTTTGGGTCTATTACATTATGTATTAGGTCTTGCAAACTCCTGGCAGGTGTTATCTGATCAGATACTAACCATCCACTTTATTCTTATCTTTCTCTTTGTATATCTTCTGGTCTAACGAGACGTAAATACATTAAAATCTATGCATACGAGCAAATCTATAAAAGTTTTGTAATGCCTGGTCTAGCAAACATACTTTGTGATGAACAGGTTGTTAGAGTTGACCTAGTAAATAAGCTGTAGATTACGTTTCCTCAGACTCCAAGCTGGAAATATAGGCAGCGTTCCGAATCTTTTGCCTGTGTATCATATTTTCACATATCGCAAATTGTATTTATACATCCTCAGTAAATTTTTCACTAATTTTGGTATACTCGTGTTCTTCCATAAATACGTCTCCCAAATGAAAAACATCAAATATCTTTAGGTCTATACACATACATAAACTCCTGTCAAATTGGAACCAAAATATATACACATTTTTCGCTCTTTCTGTGTATGAATATGTACAACCGTACTTTTCTATGCGGTTTTCGCTCACGTTTGGATAAAGACAGCTTTAACAAACAATTTCCCTTCTGCGTTTTCGAAAGAGTGGAAAGAAAGTAAATGTGTGTGTGATCAATGGACCAGGTTGTTTTCTTTACTACTTGCTATTTAGCACGACTCACAAGGCCAAATATGAACGATCAGATATCACTGAAATTTTTCAGATGCCAGAAAATTTTTTATAGACAGAAAAATTAGTTGTGTTTAAATCCTTCTCTAGTAACGTCATAGAGTCCGCACCAATGTTTATGGAAGAGAATGAATTCAAGATCAGTACATAGCCTCGTTTCCTCCCAAAAAGTTTGGAGCAGATTAGAAAACAAAAAGGGTGGAGTTGGAAGGCTGAATAAAATTAAATTTCTCTTTCTACATAGGTTTTTCCTTTGAGTACAAAAGAGGCTATATTTTAAAAAAATATAGGTGAGAATTTAAAAAAATGGTGCCTGTGGGATACCTTTTCCAACAGCTATAGACACCAAATATCAAAATCATTAGAGATTCTTTTAATGAACAACATAGCAAATTTGTTCATGGTAAGCAGCACCCACACATATTCAAAGTCAGAACCGGTGTCAGGCTAGACTTTTCACTTTTGTGCCTTCTCTTTCTCCCGGTGTTTGGCTGGCTTATGCAAACTTTTGCATCTTGGGAGGACCACAGTTAACAGTGGAAACGTTGTATATGCAACGATTCACTGACATCTTCGATGAAGGTTGCTAAGGGCTTGAATGTCATGTCGTCGTAAATGATTGATGCATCACGTCAAAAATTCGCAAGTTCTTTCAGAAACTGTCAGATCAAAATAGCTTTTAATCTCATTAGAGTTCAGCTATACTTTATCTGATGGCCTCCATGGACGAATCTTGAATGATGGCATGCAAGTGCGACGATTTACCGTATAGGACACTTTTGGGACCTGTATGAATGATGAACATAAGGTTACAGGAGTTATGTGACTGATAATTCTGTTTAATGTATATCCACATTACGTGTGTCATATCGGTATGTAAAAAGAATGAAGGCGAATTAGCTCTAAAGTATATTATTCTTGTACATATTGATATTAACGTGGTACATCAGTATCAGATGCCGACCTTCAAGTTTTAGACGGTGATAAGAAACAGCATTCTTCCGAGGACCATACACCTTTCAAAGCACCAGCGCAATCCAGTCAATGAAAATGATATCGGACAAATTTGTTCTTTAAGTCTGTGTACTGCGAGTCGATAGCTGACGTTGAGTTAGCAATTTCGTTTAATACTGTTTTCGTTGAGCAATACACCAGTGCATAGCATTCGACATTTAGTTTTATAAAAGTTCTACAGGCAGTTTACCAAGTGCTATGTTGCCGAAATCCGGTGACAGTCGTATGGATTCAGCTAGAAGATTAGCATTTTGCAGATGAGCTTCTATTAAATACACAGCAACCAATGAACGGGAAGATAGTGAATGAGGATACAGCCTGTGGGTCAGTAGCCCCCAACATACACGATGGAAAGAACGTAATTCTAATACATTGCTAATCAAATAGCACTTTTTAGAGAAGCTCTGAAAGCGGTATAAACGTTAACTTCCCTGAGGATCATCATTGATAAACGAGAAGGATTTGATGCAGATTTGAACTGACTGATTGAGAAAGCAAAGAAAGCATTCATAAACTGAAGGACATTTCGAACTCGAAACAACTTTCAGCCAACGCGAAAGTCAGGATCATGAATAAGAACATCGTATTGTGTGACTTTGAATCCAGGAGATCTTCCACGATCATCACTAAAAAAGAAACAGGTATTAAAAAGAGTTTTCTACTCAAGACATCCAGGTTTTGTTAGCCGTACATTATCACCTGCAACAAAGAACGTGCAAGCCTCCAACTGGAGAAGAAATCAAACAAAGATGTAGAAGGTAGATAGGTCACACTACTAAAATCAAAGTAGATCACGAGACAGGCCCTAGCCAGGAATTCTCAAGGCTGAAAGAAAAGGAGATCAAAGAACACATCACGCCGAGTATTGTTGACGGATTTCGAAAGGATGAATAGCTTTTGAGGACATTTCGTAAGGAGATACCAGTACAGAATATGTTGGAGGTACTGAATCGGTGACCTGTGCCTCACGAGGAGTAGCAAGCGTACATATGTAGTCATAACGATATTGGCATTAATAATATTACTAACCATAAGTTGGGGGACGTGTATCAGGTACAGATTTCCGGATGAAAGACAATGAATTATGGTTAGATAGATAACTTGTTGTCAAGCCCCTTAATAAAGCTATTCACTGAGGAAACAATGGATACATAGGCTGAGATTATTCCTGATCGGGTTTAATTGCAATGATAAAAAGTGTGACCTAGTTTGTATATTTGAGCTTTGACGTGCAATTCTTCAGTAGTCACTTTATGGAGCGTAATAATATTGTTCAAGCAAAATGTTACTGTTGGACAGACGTGGCGTACATATTAGATTTTATACGGTCATCATGACACCTCTAATTCTTGTTTGTCTCAGCGACTGTAATCTAAAATGAAGAAACCTGCCTATCCTAGATTTTCCGTGGAACCCAATGGCTCAATGTGTAAACGTGATTTAAACACAATTTATCAATATGAAATCTGATTAGTCAGGAAAATAATCATGTTTGTAATTTCTTGTGTGTGTGTTGTTGTATACTTTCAAACAATAATTGGGCTTTTAGACCTTTCAAAGTACGGGATCTGTCACACACGTCTTTACACGCCTATGAAAGAACAACGAAAATTAAGATCTACGGAATATCGGGTTTACTACTTGGGGTGTACAATAGTGTGGATAAAAGTTCCCGTCTAGCGCTAGTTTCAGATATGGCGCAACTCAATGCATAAAAGGAGTGAGAAGGACAAGCGGTATGATAGACAGTTAAGGCTATGGGGTGATCATGGGCAGTTTGCACTTGAGTATGCCAAAGTGTGTCTTTTGAGAGCTGAAGGTTTGGGGGCAGAAATATTGAAAAATTTAGTACTTCCAGGTATTCCTATACTTACAAAATCCGAAACATCCAGGGGTCGGGAGCTTCACAGTTATAGATGATTCCTATGTAACTGATAAAGATTTAGGAAGCAAGTAACTTGAACGTTTTTTCTTATAAACCTTTAGTTTCTTCGTTACAGAAGATCATATTGGAAAGGTAGCTACACCACATTTCATTGCAAAATACTTCTCAGGCGAGAGCACAGGTGGTAACAGAGTCTTTAATGGAGCTAAACGACGAAGTTAATGGAAATTACTTGATTGAGGTTCATGTTTATACCATATATATCTTAAGCGTTAACAGGATGTCCGCGATTTGTTAGAAAAGGACCCTCAAATTTTCTTTTCTTTTGATATTGTTATCGTAACAGATGCCAGAGAAAAGTAAGGATTTACGTTCCCTACTATGCCAAATTTGTTTTTATCATTGATTTTTTGATCTACAGGGGAGCTAGTATTGGCAGTATACCTCTTTACACTTGACAACTATTTACGTTACTACCTTTACGACTTTGATATTTGACCGAACGATTTCTCATTGCTTATATGCTATTGAAACTTAGAGAGGTGTACATATGTACCAGATTTTACGTTACGACTGACTGATTTGTCATCACCGTTTTAACGTCTTTTTGTGCGTGTATACATTTAATTTTTATCCCGTTCTTATGTTGCTCTTCTATGTGACACTCATTTGTCGAAAAGTTTGGGTGGTCACTTTTGAGCCGACTTAAGGCCGTTGAATCAAAACATGTTATAATCCTTATGGTTCATAAATTCCCCTAAAGAATCAGTGTTTAGAAAACTCATGGTAAGCCAACTTATGTTCATTTACCGAAGCGATTTGTTTCGATATGTTAATATTACATATTTTCAACCCGTTATTAGACAAATTTTATGGCAAAATGGTTAAAAATATAACAGTTGTCCTTGTTCACAGTCGACTATTGATAACTGGGTTCAACTGATTTTGTACCAATATGTGCAAATTATCTCGTCATTTTGTATGTTAGGCTTTTTTTGTCAGCTCACTATTAGTCACTTGATTATCTGCATGCACGACTAGTCACTACTTTCCTGTGGCGTGCATGCTTATTTATGCATTATGTGTATCGATGAGTAAATCCAGTAGCCTTTTGTACGATATATCCAGGTCCTCATACATATGAAGTATGGTGAGCAACCGAAAAACCTGAAATTTGAAGCTAAATTTTCGCATGCCGAAATTCTTCTCTTTGGTTGTAACAGCAACTGAAGCCGATACACATTAATATCAGGTCCTACGTTGGCTCTGAATACCAAAATATATTGTGATATGATTCCTAATGATCGATTTTCAGCCTCTAAGTCTCAGGCAAGAACCTCGGTCTACTTCGGTTTAGACAACCGGGTTGTACCATTACTCCTCACACTTGATGTATGACATATACTAAGTTTCTGATGAATGAATCAGTTTAATTTTTACTAACTAAGCCATGAAAGAAAATAAACGCTGTACAATGAAACGTTTGTACTGAGAATTTAATTGTATTCACGGTCCATTAGTGGCTAATGTCCAGCGGTTCCTTCTGTTGACTTCATATGATCACAAAAGTTATTTTCTCAACGTTTACTATTAAGGACCAACTTATCCACCGCTTACCGTTTCAAGAACTGAAGTTAATAATGGATGTACTGCCTTGCTCATTTCAGCACTTAGATGACCATTTCTCAAAGTCTTAAATGTTTTTGCAGTCACAGTGAAACTACTCCAAAATATCAGAAATTACTTAGTCACCGTCAGCCTGAGTATTACTGATGGGAACTTACACAATAGCAGTTGTGATTGCATATTCAAATTCACGATCGAAAATTTGGTTTCACTTGCCAGATGTTTGTAGGTTTTTCTTAGCAGAAATAGTATATTCATATTAGAAGTGTTACCACCATGTTTAGTGTTATGGCGAAATTCGGATTCAGTGACCTAGACCTTTAATCATGAGTTCTCAGGTTCAAGTTATTTCCGCCTACCTCGATTCGAGCAGCTTGATTATATCTTAAGCTCCACAACAATTATAAAGCTCGTTGGGCACTGATTGAGTGTATGAGTATGAGTTAGTGTTTAACTCATTCGTCATCATTTCTTACACATATTGATCGTGATAGTAATGTGACAATCTGAAATAATTCTGTTCGGTGTTAGCGTTCAAATGGGTGGGCAAAACAAACTATGACTTAACGGTACTCTAATCACGTCACAACTCGGTATCCGATAAGTAAAGTAATGATAATATGATTTTTTTAGTAGTGTGAGATTTCAGAGTTCATCAGAATATTTATGTTGGATCTTTGTTTAAAGTATCAATAAACCAATTTATAAAGTTATCTCAGCGTATGAATTTGAACAGTCAAAACAAATGTGTATTTTCTTTTGTTGATAGATTACTAATTCGTCTCAGTCAGCTTTTGAGTGGTACTTCTATCACTTTGGTGGTATGCGTCAGCATTGGTGTCATTGGATATTTAAGAATCTGCTCTCCTGAACATGTGATAGTCGAATCTCATCCAGATTCCTATTGCCCTGATCTAAGACTTGATCGACCGTTTCCTGATTTCGTTAAAATGGTAAACGAACAACCGTTAGAGGAAATGTCATCTGAACAGCTTTGCCATACACCGTGGCTCATAATTGTTTATGTTTTTCTGCAGAAGTTTATTTCTTTAGTAAGTTTTACTGCTGTTAGAGATTTGTTTCAATTTTGATTTGTGGTCAGTATCTTCAGTTTCTGTTCCGTTTGTCGCTAATATTGATGCACTGGTGATATGGCTCACATTAATCGTAATGGCATAGATACATTCACTCTTCAACTCCCCTCAAATCTTCAAAATCGTTTTTTTTCTATGCTAATTTTTTTTCCATTACTCCTGATATTTTTACTACTTCAACCATGTGTTTTGGCTTGGTAATTTAATCTCTCTGTAATAAGGTGGTGTGGCAAACTGAACTATTGCAAATATGTACCGGATTCTACATTGCGTGTAACTGAGTGACCAGTGTACTACTCATTCGTTTCTTGTCTTCAAAGCTGTGCCTGACATCACATCTGTTGTTATGCTAATTATTTTCTAATCTGTGGCTTAAGCTCATGCATCCTTTTTTGCAGCTATTTGGCCAACTTGCAAAAACCTTTTGGAAACGTTGATTGAACTAGCTTTCAATCGGTAGCATTATTCATTCGATCATTTAAATAATCATGTGGAAACTAAAAATCAAGTTCACCATGCTTTATTACATTCATCAATGTGTAATGTCAACCTAACTACTGATATCTAAAGTTGCCCTGTTTATGTTCTAATGATTCTATTATTAAAGTGATATTTCTGCATTATGGTATAAAGATTAACTAGTGTTCCTCTTTTCATTTGCTTGTTCTCCTCATTTTCAGACAGACTAACATTGTATATCTTAATCTGCGTTTGGAATCAACTGTTTTAGGGTAGAAAATACCAATTAACAGAACTGATTTGATTGTTATGGATGTTAACGATTCTTATTTCTTTGAAACATAGTTAAAACTCTGGGAAAATAATATTAAAGCTAAATGGAGGTCATATAAAAGAAAAATAATTTCATCATTAGATATGTAAAATCGTAAACTGTAATGGTTAAAGCATGTGTTAGGGAAGATTTATTACCATCTTTCTCACTCGACAGGCTATTTTAGGTTGAATAGAGATAGATCAAAAATCGTCCCAAGGTTATCAGATCAAGACTTCGTCAAATTATGAACTTTCTAACTATCGACATAAGCTCTGTTAGGAAATGTGAACCATATGAGCTGCCTGTTAGCAAACCTAGATTACCAAGTTTAGACTTTGTAATTTAATTCAATAACTACTGTTTGTAGCTAATGTTTCATGATCTTTTATGATTAATGTCTTCTTAGCAAGGTTATTTTACGGGATACGGATGCTAATCTAGGGCCCAACTTTCCCCCTTTATCCGGACTTATTGTTGTCAGTAACCCTGGAGGAGCTCTAGGTGGAGGTAACCAATTTTATATTCCTGCAAATCATAGACATCTAATTTTGCATCCCCTATTTTCTTTGTATACGGGTTTTCTATTCCGTTGTTTTTATATCTGTGTACTACTGTTAGGGTCATTATTTTCAGTTCTTTGTGTTGATTTCTCTAGTAATACTTTACACGGTACACAACTACTCTAGGTCCTTCGTTATTTCTGTTTGCCAGTAGGTAAATAGAATGCTACTCTGTAAATGCTACAGATAAAATGTAGGCATATGAGTTTAATGTCGTGAAGTTAATATTTTTTTAACCTGCATTTTGTGGCTCGATATTTTAAAGCATTTATCCTCTACCATTGAATCAATGATCAAAGCTTTTCAAACAACTTTGGTTTGCATAACCTGGTAGTAGTTAGTTCATAAACAGGTGATTATACGAAAACTAATTGTCAAGTTATTGATAATTGATGTGAAGAACTATCGTATTGATTGCTGATGTTATCTTATATTTTACTACATTTGCGGCTCTCATTTCAATTTACGCTATATCTATCAGTTACTTGCGTCACCATTTTATTGGACTAATCCCTCAGTTTCAATATTTTATTTCTACTAAAAAAACTGTATTTAATGTAGTGTGTCTTGGTTTCTCCATGTTGTGTAATTGTCCCACTAAGTTCCAATTTTCTTTGATTCCCGCCTTTTTTAGCACGGCCATTTCCCAAGAAACCATAAAGAAAAGGCAGAGATTAAAGATATGATTTCTAAAGGTAACCACACATTATTCTTCTGTTTCTATTTGATTTCCAGTGTATGATGTTGTTACTTAAATGTTTCCATATACTCAACATTTTGTCTTAATGATAACTTTCAATTGTGAAATTTTAAGCCTTAATTTCCCTAAACTTACTATTGTCTTGACAGTCATCTCTTAACTCATCCAGTCAGCCATAAGCAATATAAACCCTGGCATATATGTACATCGTTTCAGTTCGCCGCACCATGTATGTACAACAAGGAGAAATTTTAATAGTCAATATTAAAAAAGAGTAGTAATATCAGCTTAAGCAATCACTCAAAGGTTAAAACTGACCCTCCTTACTAAGTTTAAGTGCTATTGTTTACTCTCATTTTATTGGCTTGCCTGAACGATTGTTTTTTAAAGCGGTACACCAATTATTCAATTGCATTTGTATACTTTTCACGCGTACCCACTAAATATAACCTATTGCATAAATTCATACATTAATGCTTTATTTAGTTCTCACATCGAGCATATTTGGGTTTACTGTCTTATTTAATATATTCCACAGGTATTTTCCTATTTATCACTTATTCATTTTGGGCCTAATAATAATGTTATTTGTTACGTCCTCGATATATCTACGCAATAATGTACAGGAGGAAACTTGTCTCGATCTACGTTAAGGCCTTGACGCGAAGGTCTTACTGGTTTAACCTTGAAGCTAAAAACTCATGAATCGGAATTGAGCTAAAGCCCTTACATGGAGGCCCAGAACTATCCTATCGTTTGATTAGTTGACAAGCGAGAGAGAAGACAAGTCAACTGTTACACTACTAGATCTATTCCTGATTCCCGATTCAGATTCGTGTAAAAAGACACATGAGTAAATAGATAACTAACATGACCACAACGGACAAATAATTAGAAAAATACAATTATATCCAAATTAGGCATTGGAGTGGAAAGATAGAGTACAAAAGGCTACGTTTAAATTACAATAGCTTTGGAACAAAATAAGGTTATGGTATTAAATCATACAATAAACGAAAGTTTATGATTTACAAAACAAACGAGGGATAAAACCGAATGTTAGTATTTTACAAACCTTAAATTAAGTAAAATAACGTACCCAAAAATGGCTCCCATTGTTTGTCATGGCTTCTTCATTTCTCTGCTCACAATAATAATAATAACAATATTAATAATAATAATAAAACTCTCTAATGTTATAAAAACGTATTCACTTGATTTTTAGTCACATTTAGATATACTTTTTCCATTGAATTTCGCAAACTTTGATAGGTGGAAAGATGCTCAAACACATTGTTAGGACTACCACAGTATTCGAAACATAACTTTCAACCATTGCGTTGCATACTCGAAAACTACAATCTTTTCGATGTAACTAGTAACCTCTGCCAGGGGAGTCCTACTCACTGCCTTCTCGTGGCGGGGGTGTTCTTTACGAAATTGAGAGGACGAAAAGCGAATGTCCGGCGCCTTAATCGGGTTGGTGGACACGGAGAGTCCACCTAGGAGAATTGAGAAACCCTGATTCCAAACAAATGGTGCTCATGGGTTCCAGTAGACTGAGGAAACAAATGGCGTGTGAATCACCAGCTACCATGGGACTGCATCTCCTCACGATGCTCCACTGCCTTGTGGATCAGATCTTTCGGTCAAAGGTTCCGGGTGTGGTCCCCTAAGAAAACCACCTGCTTCAGTTTGGGCACCTGGACAGTATCACAGCCCACACACAAATCGAATGAGATTTGTGAGGCGCATATGTATCTGGTGCTTCCTTGTACCAATATTTATGTGTTTAAATGATAATAAAATAATAATGTTCTCTGACCCTAAGTTGCCAGTTTTGGTCTCACCGTTCTCCAACTGACCTGTCTAACATGGTACGACCTAAAGGAACATACTTTTTGGCCAATATAACTCGGTTGAGTCGTCACGATGGGCAAACTCGATCACCACTTCAAGTCAGAAGCTAATTTTGTAGTAGTAGTTTAATGTATATGGCGTACATACAATTACTGTCAACTGTGGTTTTATTATTATTATTATTATTATTATTATTATTATTATTATTATTAGCTTTATTCAATTTTATATTTTTGGTAAATTTAGAATTTTCTGCGCAAAGTATTTCAACAAATTTCTGTTTCTTATTTTTTGATCGATCCTGACCATTAATATTGAGTGGTCGCTAATTAGGTGTTAGGAGTTCGGGAATCGACATCCGAATAATGTACATTCTTTCCGATGTATATCACCAGCAACCACAATGTCTCTAGTTGTACTCTTTCCTAACTTGTGCAGCGAAATGTTGTGAACTTTTCAAAAACGCGGTTAAATAGTTTGTGCAATTAATTGACATAATTATGTGTTGAACCAACCAAAGACAGATAACTTGTTGAAATATCTAGATGGTAGGAACAGGTAGCCCAGATAATCAATCAGGTTTTATTCGTCGATTTGAACTGAACATAATGCATCGTCGAACTGAACTCTCAACCGATATTTCGGTGATAAAGGATTCCTACTATTATTATGAAATGATAACAAATAATATCCAGATTTCCTCTAAAATCCGACATGAAATAATTGTCCTTGGTGCCAAAACTTGTTTGGTCACCATTCATTTATCTTGTTACTTCTTCCCGTTTGTGAACGTTATGTTTGCTTCCCTAAGCTAGTTTCGGATCCCCGAGCTAGAACTATACAGCAACTTGAAAGATCAGAGAGAAGACACGAGTATCAGAGAAACACTTTACTACAAGGTTCATTTATGTACAGAAAAACAGGGGTATCATAGTAATAAAAAGACCTTGAGATTCCATAGTATCAGTATGTTAAACAGCCAATCAGGACCTCGTTATTTTAGTAGCATAGCTTCTAACTAATCGCTGATTGGTTGGGCTCTTTATGAGCCTCTGGAGACTCTGATAGAGTTTACTGTAAGCCGACTTAACATATCTCTTAATTACATAGATATAATTTAATACAATCTGATTGGATGCTATTTGTTGAACAGGATAGATGCGGCTTAAGGCAAAAACTTACGTATGTCATGAAGTTGTGTAGGCTCCGAATTTTTACTTGTTGCACCAGCTTTGTTTCAATAAAACAAACTGTCAGTCAGTGTCTCCTTAAATAGTTTATATGATCGTTCTTGTATTCTTGCATCAATTTTATTTAGGATACATTTATATACTAGTGAAGTTTTTTGTCAAGTTTGTAAATCATCTATTTTCTAGGTGCAGTTGAACTTTGGAGTCAATTACGTAAACGTGAGAATAACCTGGATTCATCTTTTGTCTTGGAAAATTTTCAAGAAGCATGCCAAGCAGTCAATACAGCAGTTCTACCGACCACAGTTAGTTTATTTCCTGCAGATATGTTTTCGAAAAGTTGTTTATAATTGTAATCACATAGTGCTAGTCGGTTTGATGTTACAAAATTATTTACTGGGTGGTTTCGATCATTTGAATAACGTAAAATTTGTCACAGTAGTAGTTAAAGTTTATTTTACTCCTTTATTGATGCGTGGCTGTTCGTTGTTAAAATTCACGAAATATGCTGTTTACGTCATGCACAACGAACACCGAAACCTCAGTGTGCCGTCTATTTTTCAGGTTTTCAGTTTAAGTAAATAGTGAATCGACTATATTTTAATCGATCACTAGCGTTACAAATCCTTGAATCTTGAATGCTTTGGCACTACCGAGCTAGGCAATACTTATTGTTTTCATATACATCGCTTTCTAGCATTATGTAAACTAATAACCTTGATCGCGTTAAACTCAAACCCCCTTTTAAACAATATGACTGTCTTTATTTTTTATTTCTGAGGATTCAGAAAAGAAAACGACAACAAAAGCTTCTTGAATGCATTCTATACAAACTTTGATTCTTCTCTTTGATTTTCGTTGTTTTTTTTACATACTATTCATCCTAATGTATCTTTATAATGGTAGTAAATTTTCTCTTTTGTCCCGTATTTCTTTGTCACCCATCACAATAAGTTGATGTGTAGATGATGAGTTCTATTTACGGAAGTTGTATAGTTTCTTTCATATATGAATATAGTCTCTAACATATGGTCTTACACACTATGTAAGCTAGTAATCTCAAATTTTTGTTTCTAGTTCTTTATTATTATTGTGCTTACAAGTGTAGTGTTAGTCATATTTTTATGGACAATGTACTATGTAATTATCTCAAGGATACATTTATACTTCCATTTTATAGGACCATTGAAACAAGTTTTTTTATATTTTAGATTCCTGAAAATGTGAAGAAGTTACTCGAGGATGACCGCTGTAATGATCCCTGTCTTACAAATATTGGTATTTCGGGATCCAGTAACACAGTACGTAAATACATGAAATAACATGTTTTGTTAGAATTAACTTGACCTTCCACATCTTGAAGGTCACTTATTTCACCAAGTTCCTTTCTTAGTAAAGATAGTGATTTGTTCTCAACATCTCCAGGCTTTATTGTTCACCGTATAAGTGCGCTAAAAGTTGATTATTCACTTTAAATATTTAATGGTTTCATACACATATTAAAAATGTTGTTTAAAAAAAAGAGTTGTTACGTCGCGAAATATTACGTATTGCGATAGGACTACACGAAATTCTTCGATTGACCAAACTCAGATATCCTAGTACGACCCCGATACTGTTCCCCAACCCCAATAAATCAGAACACAGACGTTAAGCGAGAATTGTTTATGGGGTCAGAAACAGAACAAAAATAATTTACAGACAAGGCATATTTATACAGTTAAGATGACTATGAACAGTAACTAATGGAAAGAAAGGACACGTAAAGGTTATAATTAGGACAACTCAAAATTTACCAATAGGAAAACGACGCATGAAAGTCATAGTTAGGACAACTGTAAATAATGACCAATAGGAAATAACATGTGAAATATGTGGAAGGTCTGGAAACATACCACTTTACGGTAAGCAGAGATGGGTAGTGGCTAGCAGTGGAATCCAGGACGCGCGTTTCGTCCTATTTGGGATTCGTCAGCTGGATGTACCTGCATCTCAGAGTTGATGTTCACTCTGCTTACCATGCTTGTGAATTAAGGCTGTATAGAGGCAATACGCACAGTATGCACATATGTCAATTAGAGACTGACCAGTTGCAGTCCTAACACATCGATGGGAAGAATCAAACAAACAACACTACATGAATTTATACCACTTTACGTTCGAGATAATTTTTGGGATATTCCTGTGAATATCCTAACAAGAGTCTAAACAATAATTACTTTTGTGGTATACACATATTATCCACTTTTCAAATTACATTATAGGCAAAAATAATGTTTTTGAAAACTGTTGTAAACTGAGTAAATCTAACTTCATATATTCTGTGTACAACGTTCATAGGTGGATATCTTACAGACTATATTTAAGAGAACCTTCCGCGTAGCTTCCTATAGATGACTATCCGCTTACTCCATCCTCACTTTCAAACCCTCAATATATTACATTTGCTGGACCGTATTTAGAGAAGGAAATTATTCGTGTCCAAATTTTTGTCTGAAATTATTTTCTATGTAAGTCAAAGAACAAAAAATGAGTCAGTAATGAAGTTAATCAGTGTTATGTTGTACCACCACAACCTTAGTGTATATTGTTGGTAAATTCGTTAAATTGTGGGTGCAAAATTTAAAACGCTGCGCAAAATTGTCTGCCAACTTAACATTCCACATGTCTAAAAGAATTCATCTATATGATCTAATAAATTTACCTTAATTACTGTATATCTTTACTCACATAAATAGAATCTAAAGTTTCCTACCAGGAACCACCAACAATTAAACAGAAAGGATTCTGTTTACACAACTATTTCATCTGTGAAATTCTGGCGTCTAGTTCGTGCTCTACGAGATTTTATTAAACATGAAGGTGAAGGACAACTACCTGTGCGTGGTAGTCTACCAGATATGATATCTGATTCGAAGCGTTATTTACAACTTTTATCTATTTATCGTGAACGTTCTGAGTGGGCAGTGGAACGTCTTACCTCAAGATTATTGCAAGTATGTTTTAAGAAATTGTTTTTCCATTTCCCTCTCTCTTTAAAAGGAGCATTCAACTTCTTTTTGTGTTGAGATAATTTGTGTAAACAAATCCCGTTTGACTGAATGTATCATGTCATTAGAACAATAATCATTTATAACCCAAGCAGTAGAAAAACATTCTGCTGGAGAAAGACTCTAAAAATCCTGTCATCCGAGCTTTCATCGTGAAAATATTTTGTTTTGCATTTTATACTCGCATTCTATATCATAACACAAATTTAGTTTTTACATGTGCGTTTGTCTTAGTAGCTATTTCATCATTTGAATTCTCTGGAACTGATAACCAACCTGAAGTATTTGTCGTCAACTTAATGTTTACAAACGATAAAGATCTAAAAACACTGAACAAAATGCCATTCGTTATGTACCTTTAATGGTGATGCCCACGTAGGATATACAGATTTCTCTACATCTGATTGCGTAATTTTGCTTCAGGACTAATTTGAGTTATTTCTCAATCTAATTGTGCCAAGTAAGGTAGTTGTGAAATTCGTCCAAGTGAACTGCTAGCTGACTTAATACCAGAAAAGACACAATATGGATTTTAGCGCCACCTGTGACTTCAGCGAGATTTTCATCTCCCCAACATAAGGTGAGCATAGTGTAAAGCAACTCCTTTGTATTATTTTTTCTAACTTTAAGACAGGCTTTAATGGTGAAGGATATTTATATAGATATACGTAAGTCACAATATTGATGTCCACACTGGGACTCGAACCTGACGACTATACGTATTCTATTTTTTGCATTTTAGTTTCCTGATATTTCTGTAGACGACGTGCGTCTTTTTGGTGAGTCCTTGAAAAACTGTCATTCTTAATATCTATGTTGATATTTTCTAGCTGACTACAGATTGCCACAAAAAGAATTCTAAAAAACGGAGTTTACAATGTCTATTCAATTGTTTTGTCCCATTGGCTGTTGGACAGAATCGTGAAGATGTACATGCAACTAATTAGTTGGGGTCCTCCTCGAGTATTCCAACTACTGAGTAAAACAGTTCTGAGTCGGTTGTATTAGCACAGATTCTTGGATCTTAAGTTTAAAAATTACCTGCTTTCCATCGTCATAATTCGTTCTTTTCCGAATCATGCTGTCTGTGCCTAGTCTTTTTTCTGTAATTAGTACTGTTACTACCTCTTCCACTCTTGAATTTGTTTTGGTAATTTCAACTCAGTGTTTATGTGGTATTTGAGCTTGAACTGATACACAAATGTGTGCTGCAGGTTCTGCGTTACTTATGATTGACTAGTTGTTGTGATTGTTTATACGTTTGAAACATATTTTAGCGAAATCTATAGATTAAAACACAGATTTCAGCGAAGGGATCTCTTTTCAACGAATTTATTATCAAGCTGTGTTTTTTTTAACTTTCAATATAATAACATTCATAGGTCAACATTTATCTGAATCAATAAATTAGATATTATAAGTATATAGTCTGAGAAATTTTGCATTCAAGTTGAAATTGCTCCGAAAACTAATAAATTGTTAATCATTATTATGTTGATTAATAATGTAAGTCGGTAACTAAGTATAGATGAATGTATAGAGTACCCTTTATGTGTGATACTAATTGACTGCTGGAATCAAAGTATGTATTTCCAATATGTTTCAATGAATGTGTTCTGCTACGGTTTTTTTGATTATAATCTTTCTTATGTGTTTCATTGTAAATATCTAATTTTAAGCAAATTATTTGAACGAAGGCGTTCAATACTTTGTTACATACATCCAAACGTAAAATCTCTCGTCTCAATAAAAGCATTAGTTGGCATTTTGAAACGATGACTATTTTTGCTTGCGAACAATTCCACTGTAATTAAACTGTTAAGATGTTCGACCTTATTTGATTTGAATTTTATTTGTTGATTGTTATTTTAATGCATTCTTTTCAGTTAAAAATGCAAGTTTTCTGAATGTTGTACGTTGTCGGTCACTAGAAGAGGAAATGAAACTTTCGCCAGCGCGTTCAGACGATCTTAGTAAATTCCTGTTTATTGTTAAAATTTTTGTTTCTTTATCAGTATTAATGATTTTATTCTTAGCAAGTCATACCCGTTTTTCTTTGTGGCAACAAAAGTTATCTTGAAGACGCTGAATTTTTTTCAGGTTTTCCATTTTCAAGGTATCATAGCTCCTCTATGAATCTATTACTAACGTTTAGGAGTTTTAGGAATCCACTCTACTTTATGAGTGCCAGCGTTGAAGTAACTAGTGATTTCCACGTCATTTGGTTAGCAGCATATCCAAATGTTTGGGTTACCATGTCAATTAACTACAGTCACAAATGTGCACTGACTCATTGATCCCCAAATCTAATCACTAAAATAATAGAATATTCGTAATTATTCGGTTAAATATTTTTACTGCTTAATTAGTTTTACTAAAGAATCGGATGTAATACCTCCTAATTTAGAAGCCTTAGTGTACTATCCAGCAATAGACTAATTGCTCAAAAAAACCCAACTCAACCTTCTTGATGGCTATCTTCTGACGAGCATACTTACACAGTCACTGAACTTATTATGAATTCTAGTGCCTTGCCGGTGTACAATATATGATCTCTGTTATTTTCTTTCAGCCTTACTCCCAACACACGAAGGCAATGATTCCATGTTGTGGTATTTAGTTCTTCGAGGTGCTAGTAGTTTTCTGATGGAAACTGGACGGTGGCCTGGTAGTTCACAGCCTTATACTACAACATCTAAATTCAGTTCTAACGACCAAAATCCGAACTCAACTGGAATTCCAGTGCCATGTGAAGAACAATTCTCCGCTACAAATTCTGAAGAGTTAAGCATGAACATCGTTGAATCTGACTTGCCAACGTTACGGATACACTTAAATCGTGTTCTCCAATCGTTTGGGATTGCATCGAATCGTGTTAGCTCAGATTATTTAGAGGTAATAAGTGTTTATTTAACTATATTTTCTACGGTATGTAGTACTAATAAAAACGAATTAGCTGTGTGATATACAACAACTATCAGTCCGTGTTCTTTGAGTTTCCTTAAAAGGCTTGGACATAGTTTATTTGGGAGTAGTCCGTGAGTGGTCAATAAGGAAAGACAGACATATATCTAGTTACACTAAAAGTAAAACACTGTTTTATATGTAAAACTGACCCTATTTGTGTTTCAATTCGAATCCACTTGGTGATTGCTTTTTATGTGTTAATTTACTATTGTTATGACCTGTATCTAGTTCTTGATGGCTAACCAGATAATTGAGTCAAGTATTATGACCTACCAATCTAATTATTTACTAACCCGGAATCAAGTATCCAGTGTAGGATCGAAATCTCAAACCTATTCTTGTTAATTCAGGCTGTGTTATTAGACGTAAACTACCTGGTTGGGATTTGCACGATAATGAATGTCAGTAATTAGAGACTCATTGATACATACATTTTCCACCTTCCTCTAAATCTTGATTTTCAATAATATTCTTTCTAATCCATAAAGTTGGCTAGGGCCATGTGTTATATCGTGTGAATTAGTAATATATATGAACGTGCAATGATACAGGAAATACGTACGAGCAGTCTTGGGTGCAATCCGGTCCTTCCTATCTGCCTAGCCCAGCCGTTAAGTCCAGAACACAAATAACAGCCTCGGCAATATGAATCATTATTTACAAACATACTGGGTTTTTATACAAACCAAAGTAATCAATAAACTGATTATAACTCAAGAATCGTATGATAATAAATCAAAGATCAAAATAAAGCTAATGATAAGAGAAACACGAATATGAATAGTTTAGTTACGTAACAATTGTACAATAAGAAATAGGCATAATACATTGGTCGATAAATAGTCCTTAGAGTTAGCATTCATAATTCACCAGGGGATATAACACCATGTTGCTTGGTTGTGGTCAGAGCGATTATCGCAATCAGAGGAGTTGTGTAACCTGATTTAGAATCGGTCACACGGATGCAATCTCATTCACTTTTTATCTTACTTCTTTAAACATTCCTTTTCGTTTTTTAAAAACTATATTCTCAATTCATAATCTTTCCCACTATCATTGGTACTAAATTATTTTGATATTTATGTTTTTAATTTCCATATCTTCGTGCCAATCTAGTATAACAACTTGAGTTGACGCATCATTGTGTCGAACTGCACTTTAATTATGACTAACTTGTTTTTAATAGAACTCTCTATCTAGAATTGTCTTTGAATTGTAATACTTTGAAATGGTTAATAGTCGGATGGTGTGGAAGGTTTTTTTGATCTTAATAGCATCGCTATTATTTCGCGTTATTGTATTTAGAACAAGATACTTAAGAAAACAATATTACTTTCAATTAGAACTTTATCATAGCTAAATACATATTTAAATAATATTGAATCATCCTAAAACACTTGAGTCAATCATCATAAAATAGGATATATAAATAGTCGCAGTGAGTATATTGTACGAATTGTTATTAAGATGATCTGTGTAGGACTAACAAACAACATGACAACAAGACTAAGATAATGATCAATAATAATTACATAGTCGGATGTAAATAGCATATTTGATGAGTCCCTATGAATGCTCTAGTTCATGATCATGGTCGACGAAGTGTGATGAGATGGAGCTGTATATAGATTCAGTTAGACCGTTTTCGAACCACGAAAATAGATAGTCGGCAACTGGTAACCTAAGTGACCTAATTGTAGGATCGACATAGCTTTCACCATAGGATCAGCGAAATCGGTATTGTCTGACAAAAATCTATTCTAATACAGTATTGTTCGCTTATATGTTCTGTCACAATTTACACAAAAGGTCGTAATATCGTATTCAGAAAGCATATTGATATCTACTAAATTCTTTTAAATCGATCGCCGTGCCACATAAGATTCCCAATTCAAATCTCGATGTGGTCGTGGAATTGCACTGCTTAGGAGTCCCAAACTGAAACAAAACAGCATCCAGTGCTTCCTGGTTTACAGTGGTTGCCTAAATAAAATCAGTCAGCGATGCGAACTATTTTTATTTTTTCTGCAATCTATTAAAGCCGCGCTACTTCTACCTTCTTTTCTAACCTACAGGAAATGTGTCAGTTTCGTGGTAATGAATTGCATTCAGTGGTTGCATTTATGGGTGGAGTTGTAGCCCAAGAAGTTATCAAATTAATCACACACCAGTTTGTCCCAGTATCAAAGCCGTTGATTTATAATGCTATACACCAGAAAATTGAATTGTTGGATTTTTGATGAACGTTGTTGTTCATATATGAGTTGATTATATGTGCATGCAAAATAAATGCTATTTCTCAATTGACTTACTACATAGTGGAGAAAATTTGTAACTCAGGTGGATGATTTCGTTTGGACTGAAAGTTACACATTACCGTTTCTGTAAAGGAATAACTGATCTGATAAAACATACTGATGGTAACGTTCATATGCGCAATCCGTTCGATTTACTAACTGAATGAATATATGTTACGGAATTGATAGGTTTGCCGAGTATTAATTAAATCCTATAATTCAGAGTTGCGATGTGACCACTAGTCTTACTGACTTGATAGGCCCTTAGTTTTCAGCCGATTTCATTTAAAGCATCAACTTTTTATACTACAAATTAGATAATCAACTTGATGCTAGTTGGAAGTGGCTAGACTGCAATTAATCCCATATTCATCAATTGTGATGATTTAATTGGCAGAAAAATCAAACAGTGTGTGTAACAAAATGTATTATAAAGTTTGTTTCTTTACAAAGTTATCTTGTGATGTAAACAACCACGAAAACAAATTAAATATGTTAAGTAATTTGTTAACTATTCATCTAGCATAAACAGAAAACACAACATAAGATAAAAGAATTCTGCTCAAGTATAAAAAAGTCAGTAAAACAGATAGATAGATAGAAAAATGAAACTATCGAACAAGTGTGGACATTGAAAAAATTACAAACTACATAACTCAAGAAAAGCTTAATCCATTATATGTATACGTAGTGCCTTAGGTGTTTGTTTGTTGACTGTCTGAACTGGATATTTTATGACAATCATTGTTGTTATTATTATCAAAATTAGTAGTACTAGTAATAGTAGTAGGTAAGATTCCACTTCGTTGTTGATTCCAAAGTTGTCGATAATATGAATCCGGTTGTGATAATAAACTAGAGTGCGTACCACGTTCAGATACATGACCATTTCGTAAGACTAAGATTTCATCAGCATCAATTATTGTGCTTAAACGGTGAGCGATTATAAGAGATGTAACGCCAGGTGTAACTTCCGCTAATCGTTGAAGAATAGTCTACATAATTTATTTATATTTTTTTTTTGATAGAGAAACGAAAAAGAAGTATATATATAATGATTATTTAAATAGAATCAGTTTACTTGACTTTCACCTTCAGTGTCAGGGGTTCATAAACTGTTATCAGGAATGTCGTCAGCCAGTATCACTTAGGTATCGCACCGCACATACGATGTACTCCTGTGTACGATTAATTGGAACACGATGTTGTCGTAACTGAGATTTACCATGCAGTTTTATCTTGAAGAAATAGAACAGTTGATCGACTTACAACATAAACAGAGCCTCAGTATCAAGTTCTATAATCTTGGATCGTATGTTTTGGTCTAAGTAAGTTAACCGCGCACTAGCAATAGGAAAAGTGATGAATCTTTAGATGTATTGTATTAGAGTGAACTCCAAATTCCTTCCTCGATCATTCAGGTCAAGACTCACATTAACTTAGAAGTGGTGAAAGTCTAGAAGATTGCTATTCCTTTCAGAGCACTAGTTGTATCTGACGAAGCTTCAGATCATTTCAAGAATGAAATGCGGTTTTATGCACTTTCGATAACAAACAGTCAGCGCAGTTAATGAGAAAACCATCTAGGTATGTTTCCTACTGGACATATCTAAGGTGATGGCTTCCGTTATACCGAAAAAATTATGAGTTAGACTGGCTAATTACCAATTCGCCTCGTATGTATGAACATTGTCAAACACGTATATGGTTGAATTTGTTGACTTGATAACTGTCTTAGGTTTTACTCTTTTAAAAGTTTTACTTCAAGTTAATTTATTAGTGACAGTGATACCTGGAAAAGCCTATCATCATACTTAAAAGTAACTTGAATAAACTGAGAGCACATAAACATCTTTTCACTGTTTTTTGAAATGAACTTTTTTACACAATTCCTTATGAAGTAAGGACTGAAGATAAATTTCCGGGAGAATAAATTTCATCTTTGAGTAAGGGACGATATGTAGGCTACCCAAATTGTACATAATAAGTGTACATAGGTATAATAAAAACTTTGCGAAACCATTTACTCTTCATGGTAAGTGAATAGAAAGTCAAGAAGTTTGCGTATTTTGATGACCAGTGAGCACTCGTACTGATGTAACATACAAGATTAATTTGTATATAACAAAAGTTAGGGCAACTCTGTGTAATCTGATCTACGTCTAGTGCCGTTACGAGATTTGTCCGTTTAGAAATAAAATCTGGTGTACAACAGCAATTCTCATTACCATGAGTTGGAAGTTATAAACAGTCAGTTAGCTTGAACCTTGATTATAATGAAAAATAAATTATTATCAACATAGAGAACATATAAAAAACATACATGTTCAGTGATTGAATCTAACGATGACGTTGCTTCGTCGTAAATCAAAATTGGAGCCTTCTTTAGTAGGGCTCTAGCAATCGCTATTCGTTGTTTTTCACCACCGCTCAATTTCAAACCACGTTCTCCGACCTGCGATTATGAAGAAAACCGAAACATGAAATTAAATATAAGTCTAATATGTATATTATAAATGAACAACTGATCAATTAATTAAATTATTCGAAGTGAATGTAAGTTATGTTCACCAGAGATTGATCTCACTAGAGGTATTACTAAAACCGTAGTAGTACTGGACAACTATTTTGTTCTAGTATGAAACTACTCAGTATTGATCACTAACAAACACATCAGAGATCGGGCCAAGCAACTTTAGACGGACGGCTAATCGTTAAAGCTACAAATTAAAGCCAATCTTCAAAAGTTCTTTTCCAATATATAAGATAATCAGCTTTGTAGTGACTTACTTCAAAATGTCCCTAATAAGAGCTCGTTATTGATAGAGTTCAGACATGTCAGGAGTGATAGTTGTTTTTGATGTCATTAGACGATTGTCATCCTAAATTGCGAACTGCTGGAACTCAAATCAAGCGTTCTAATGGTTCGGAGTTTGCAGAGATACCTGAAGGCCCTTGTGGGATGGTGGGTTCGCACTGCTGAAGAGCAACGTACAGAGAGAGAGAGAGAGATGTCCAATCTCTCATGTTTTTAATGGTACCTCAACTGAAATTAAAAGTGTGATAAAATACAACCTAAAGTCTCTGTTGCACAATATATTATGATAAATGATCCCAATCAACGCTTAGTCGCATTTCTATGCAACCAACTTGCAAAAATCTTTTAACAAAAATATTTCATAACAAATAGAATTAATTCGTTACATAACTCAATCTGATCATCAAGATTAATGGTTTAATAATAAAATTTTATTTAGATTTCAGACCGGATTTATGTCAACGATTGATATGAGGTACATAAGACCCAAAATTGCATCCTTTCTTACCATCAGGAGTAAATATATACAAGTATTCAGTAGTCCTATATTGTAGTGTTATGGTGCTCTTAATAGACTGGTTTGGTTGTCTGGCTTCTAGCTGACATGGTTTAAAAACAGCAAATACTGCACTTACTTGTGTATCGTATCCATGTGGCATACGTTCAATTGCATTGGCTATATTCGATAAACGAGCGGCTTCGTAAACTTCCTCCGGAGTTGCTTTCAAGTTGCCGTATTGGAGATTATAAAATATAGTATTATGGAACAAAACCGTATCCTATGAAACAACAAGACGATGAACGTGGATACTGATGTACATATATATATATATATAAGTATAATTAGCAAAACTACATTTTGGTTTGATCAATGAAATTCGATTGAAGATAGCAGCCCTTGGAATGTTGCACAAAATATGAAACAGTGACGGAGAGCTGGTTGAATTTGGCTGATTTCGATGACGACATAATCGTGGATCATTTATAGAACAGTGAACTATTGCGGAATGTCATTTCGTGATTTTGGTCAACAAATTATGAGAAGAGGTACGGAAGGCATGGATTGATTAGAATGTGTGAGACACGCTCTCTTCTCGAACATTGCTGGTTGAGTCAGTGTATGGCGAACTGGGATCACAATTGGTTACTTCAAGTGATGTTCGTAAGTGTTGTCCACTTCTCCCCACTTTTACTTTGTCATAGACACGCTTTTAGAAATATCACTTTCATCGTCTGAATTTTCAGGGATTGAACTTCAACCAGAAGATTTACTTGTTGACTTAGAGTACGCAAATGATATAATTCTGCTTGATGAAGACGCTGACAAAATGCAGTCTTCTGACCACATTGAACGACAATGCAGGCATGTTCGGGATGAGGTACTCTCCACCAAAATGTAAGATGTTACTTCATGATTGGCTTGCATCACCACCTGAATTAGTGATAGGGAGTGAAGTAGTTGAACGCATTGACCGCCCCACTTATCTAGGGAGTCTCATCAGTAGTGGTGGTCTGGTGTCTATCCAAATCTAGACGCGGATACAGAAGGCTCGATTGGCTAATAACAACCTGCGTCATATGTGGTGTGGGCAAGATATCCGTCCGGCAACTAAAAGATTTTACCGAGTAGCAGTTCTCTCTGTTCTATTTTATAGGTGTAGAACATGGCCATTGAGAGTACAGGTTATTTCCAGGTTACAGGTACTCGATCATAAATGCATTCGAAGCATTGTTCGTGTATTTTAGGACCACAGTGTTATATCTTGTGGCCGAGTGGATGGGTAGTTGATGTGTGACTTGATGAGACCGCCAATTAGGGAGAGCGAATTCTCGATTGGAACAGTGACACGAAACCCGTACGAGCAGCCTAGAGTGCTAACCGGTCCTGCGGTCTGCCTAGCCCAGCCAATTAAGTCCAAAACACCAATAACAGCCTCAGTGGTATGAATCATTATTTACAAACATAATGGGTTTTTATACAAACCAAAGTAATCAATAACTGAGTATAACTCAAGAATCGTATGATAATAAATCAAAGATCAAAATAAAGCTCATGATAAGAGAAACACAAATATGAATCGTTTAGTTACGTAACAATTGTACAATACGCATAATACATTGGTCGATAAATAGACCTTGGAGTTACCATTCATAATTCACCAGGGGATATAACACACAGAGTAAGTCATTCCTGGGTTAGGAGTAGAGTATTAGGTAAAGATGACAAATCGGTTAATAGGCAACAAAATCTTCATCTACTGAGGTGGTTTGGACATACGTCACGTATGCCCAATCATCGCCTACCTCGACGGGAGTTGTTTTCTAGTGTAGGAGTAAGTTGGAAGAAAGTCAGGGACGGCTAAACCAAATCATGGCAAAACACATAAAGTCACAGACTATTAAAATGAGCCATGTTAATAGGTGTAGACTAGCCGGTTGGTTTCCCACGTGATTATAATAATTAATGGCTAGAGACTTAGAATAATATGCCTTAAGATTGTTTGCAATGGCGTAGATGCATCTGTTCTTTGTCTTCCCCCGAGATTTTGAGATTCCAAATTCCCCATAACAATTTCTGCTTTTATTTCACTGATTTGTATTTTCCGATCGAATTGTATCTTCGATGCCTGTTTCCTATTACCACTGATACTGTCACTATCTCTACTATTCTGGGATTTGATCTGATAATTTTATCTCCCTGTGCTAATGGGGTATGGCAACTGGAACCGATGTATATACGTACCAGGTTCTACTTTGTGACTGACTGAGAAATTTACTTTTGCTCTTACTATAGTTGGAATTTAATGGTCCTGCAGTGTTTAATGTGTCAGTTACCTAATGATATATTGTGACCATTAAAACTAAAGATAATTATATTAGACGTACATAAGTTTCGTTACTAGTCAGATAAGCAAAGTTCGCTGACAACAAACGATTAACTTGAATAACAATAGCTAAGCTTTTAACTATTCTTATAAAGTGTTATATCGGGTAGATCTAGTTAAATAACCTGAATATTTAAGCATACCTTTGTTATTGGATATTAATCATTTGGAAATTCATAGAATTACCTGTGGTATCACTGCTATTGCATGACGTAAACTTTCCAAATTCACCGACCGAACATCTTGACCACCAACTAGTACACTACCACCAGATACATCAAAAAATCGATAAACTAATCGAACAATTGTAGATTTTCCGGTACCACTCTCACCAACAATAGCTACACATTGACCAGGTTCAACCTTAAAAGGAGAAACAATCAATTATATGGTTTATGACACCAGAGATATATTGAAATTTGATCATAGATAAAAACAATAAGTGTATGTACTACCGAAATTCGCTTTAGAACACGGAGAAGTCATCAAGATGGATAGCAAAAATGAAAAACCCAGTGTTAATGGTATTAAAAATAGAGAATATGATCCGAAAAGCGCAAGTGAAATAAGGGAATAAAAATTATGAACGATGCAACCATATCGGAATATTGAAGGGCCAGTCAAAATAGTGATTTCTAGTTTATTTTCGTGAAAAAATTAAGACGTAATACCATCTAGAGTTCATATTATTAATAGCTATAATGTAGAGCTGATAACGATTAGAATTCGCAAGAGGAAATATTCTATGTCATCATACTGGGAAAACGAGACGGTATGAAAACAAAATTACACAAAACACTTTCTCTCTGATGCCTTATCACGATAATGAATTATGAGCTTATAAAAAAGATCATAAGCTATATAAAGCTAAGGAAATTGTAAAAAATCTCTGGTGAACCATTTTTTATTTTAGCGGTCTGTATACTCAGTAACTAATGAGGACAAAAAATCATTTCAAAGTCATTTGCGGAATTACTCATGTTCAGCAGTATATAACACTATTCCACTGTTAACATTAATGCTAAAACTTACAACGTATGTAAGGATGAATAATAAGTAAATCGCTGACCGATTTTGAGCCAAATCAGTTAAGGTCTCCGATGATTGATTACGTTTATCGGGAGAAAACCAATCAGATAGTGTATACTTGCCAACATGACTCAGACCAATGGTCAGTGACTTTATGGACTGAGACCATATCTTAATTTGGGTGCTCATGGAATTCTTCTAATCTACTCTTGCGACAGCGATAAACGACGTAAGGAATTGTTGGGCGAACATAACACTGATAAGATAAATAATATAGTTCAAGTTTGTTTGGGACCATTATAAGTAAACGGCATCTAAAAAATCAACAGTGAAATTAAACTATCAGTTAGAACTTAACAGCTATAAACTCTCTTCCAAACTATCCAGTCAGTTTGCACGATAGACTTTAAAGATGAATATCATCATCGAATCTTAATGATTTATGGAAACGATATCTAATTTATACATAGAGGTCATTAATAAGAAAATACTATCGGTTGAAATAAATCATGAATGAAAAGAAAACTGAATTAGTTTAAAAATCACTTACTCGATGATGATTGATAACATAAACGAAACTAGAATGTCATTCACTAACATGAGACCTCAAGCTGTATAGTCATTTTTATTAAATGGTAACTCTGAAGTGTAAGAAAATTTTTGATAACTTATTTCAATTCATACTAACCCCTATTGAACTTTGTTGTACACCTTTCGTCTATCATTTTCATTGCACTACAAGGTCATATTTTTCGTTATGTACTCATATAACTGTACTATTACTATTTTGAACTATTTGAATATAAGGCTTTTTCGGGAATTCCTGACTTCTCTTTTATGAATTACTTACGCCTGTTACCCATCATGGAGGAGCATACGCCACCCACCACCACTCTCCACCCAAACCTGTTCTGGGCAACCTTTTCCAGTTGTTATTCATCTTATTCATATCTGCTTTTATTTCCCGGCGTAATGTGCTCTTTAGCCTTCCTCTTTTCCGCTTCCCTTCCGGATTCCACGTTAGCGATTGCCCCGTGATGCAGTTTGGTGATTTCCATAATGTATGTCCGATCCACTTCCAACGTCTTTCCCTAATTTCCTCTTCGGCTGGAAGCTGGTTTGTTCTCTCATATAAAACGCTGTTGCTGATAGTGTCCGGCCAGTGAATGTTGAGTATTTTGCGTAAACAACTATTTATAAATACTTGTACCTTCTTGACGATGGATGTAGTAGTTCACTACGTTTCAGCTCCGTACAACTACGTAATATATCAGAGTAATACATTTTGAACTATCTAATCATAGGTATACTTGTTAAAGAACATTTAGATATGGAAACATATGTAATTAACTGAACAAATGGAAATTAATAGGAAACAAAGTTAATGAAGAAAATAATGTTGAAAACGATTTGAAACTCACTTATCTATTGAAACTAACACATTATCATAATAAGCTTGCTTACCTTAAAACTTAATCCATCATATAAGAATTTCCCAGGTTTTAATAAAGGGTCTTTGGAGTAATAAGTGAATTTCACATCACGAAATTCTATGGATGAATTAAAGCGATCAATGTGTATATTTGGTGCATTCGGTAAGGACTATAATTATACCATTCAATTTTCATGTGTTTGAAAGAACAATAGAGCGAGCAAATCAGTGAACACACAGAAAACAAGTGATAATTGCTTGATTTACAATAAAATGACATTAAACGAAAAACAACACTATATAAATTGAAATCAGTGCATAATAAGGTAAACATAATGTGGTTAGACATCTGTGGTCAAATACTAGTAACCTACGAGTATCTTCTACTCTTGATGGCCACGTTTCGCAGCCGTAAAGTAGAATAGAGAGAACTGCTGCATAGTATACTCGTCTCTTTATTGATAGACGGATATATCGACTTTGCCATAGTTGACGTAAGTTGGCAAAAGACAAACGAGCATTTCGAATCCGTGCTGAGATTTCGTCAGACACCAAGCCACTAGGGATGATCAGACTTCCAAGATAAGTGAAGTTGTCAACGCGGTCGACTACTTCACTCCCTATCCTTAGTTCAGGTGTTGACACAGGTCAGTCCTGGACTAACAATTTACATTTAGAGAGGAAGAAACGCATCCCAAACATCCTGGCATTGTTACTCTGTGCTACCAAAAAACTGCATTTTATCAGCGTCTTCACCAAATAGGACTATGTCATCTGCGTATTCTAAGTCGCTTAGTGGTCCCCCTGGTAGGAGATCAATTCCTGTAAATTCAGTCGACGAGAGTGTTATTTCCAGCAGTAAGTCTATGGTGAAATTGAACAGAAATGCAGGTAGTGGACAGTCTTGTCGGACACCACTTGAGGTTGTAAAATCATATGACAGTTCGCCATAAGCTCTCACTCGACTGGTAGTGTTCGAGTAAAGAGCCTTCACAAGGTTTATGTACTTCTGAGGTACACCTTTCAATGACAGACACTGCCACAGAACCTCTCGGTCTACAGAGTTTGAGCTAATGGAAATGTATCAGACTCTACATTGCGTTTAACTGAATAACTGATCTCAGTGACGAGTTCAGATATCTGAAGCCTAGTATACTACTTACTTTCGCATAGTAAGAGAAGAGTGAATATTTTGTAATAACTCGATAACATTGATAATTTCTTAGGACGTAAATGTTTGCCTTAGAATCTTTGCACGTAGTATACTATGAACAAATCAACTAATAACTATTAAATGTAATGTTTTTAACATCTCGTTATCTGGATGGAACTTCTGTTTCCAGTAGTTAAGAAGCGATGGACAGTATTTGCAGAAGATACCAAATAAACTGTTGAATCCTTCAGAGGATCAAAAACCATCAGATGGATTCATAATGAGAAATAACTTAATAATACAGTGAACATAAACATACTGACTTATTTTTTTATTCGTTGTTTAAGTCTTCCCATTGATGTTTAGAACTGAGATTGATGACAGACACTGCCACAGAGCCTCTCAGTCTACAGAGTCCAATCATGTTCTCAAGTCAAGAAAAACTATCATTGTCGGGTGCCGATAAGCATACCTGTGTTCTAAAACCTGACGAGTAGTGAATATGTGATCGATCAGCCACGACCAGGTCTGAAGCCAGCCTGATTTTCTTGTGGTTGTAGTTCACGAGTCTTAGTTAGGCGCCCGATAATTATTGAGGCTAGTATTTTAGATGCTATGTTAGTCAGACTAATCCCTCTATGGTTATTACAGGATGATTTTGACCTCTTCTTATATATTGAGAGAATAAGTGATTGTGACCAGTCAGGTGGGATTACGTTCAATTCCCAACCTAATCGCAAAAATTGGACCACCATATTTAGAGACCTCTAGTGCCAATCCATCTGGACCAATTGTTCTTTTTTGTTTCAAATTAGCTATAGCCTCTTGATGTTGTTTAGACAGACAATGAAATCTTCACGATTATATTAACCAGCTGAGAGGACACAGATCCACTAAAATGTTATTTCTTACTTGTGACTGACATTGTAGAAATAAGCATACTGAACATATTTCTAATAAGGAAATTTGTAGAGGCCTACTTAAGTAGTCTCTCCCATAACTATGCAAGGTTCAAAAACAAAACAGAACTGGGACAAAATTATATCACACTTGATAGCGCCAGGTGGTAAAGATCACCTATATTCTCAAGAAAGTGATTATATTACCTTTTTCCGAATTATTTTCAAGTTACTGACCATGTTGTGTCTGAGTTAATCATGTACACATAGTTAATGTCGATGACAGGTCTAATAGTGTTGAATTGTGTAATATCTAAACACAAGGATTACTGGCTGACTGATACATTACATACATCATTCAGATTTTAAAGTTTAACACATGTTTAGATCCGTTTTTTAATGATAATTAGGAAAGATTTAATATAAATCAGAGTTGCTTCCTCACATATAACCTAAAATTGTGATCATATCAAAACGGTTCTATGTCGAGAAAAATTAAATACAATTACGATTACATGGTGTGATATGGATGAATTATTTCGAATCTTATGAATATAATTTTTATTATTGACAATATTAAACACTCATTTATATACACCGAAAAACTGAAGTAGTCAGTAGCATTCCCAGTGTTCAATAACTGTGTTGTACCCAATACTTTCGATCATTTTTTTCCGCTAGTATAGTAAGTGTTGTATAGTGTTATTTTCATTAAAGCTTTCAATACAAGATCTAACTTTTACTGCATTTATGTTTTCCATATGACAAGTTAAACTGCATTAAACATGCTCATGGTAGATAATTGTGAGTAGCTCTAGACGATGGAAATGAAATCTTTGATGAAATTTACATTCAAATATGCAGATGTATCTAATAAATCAATAGAAAAATAACCGCAATCACTGGGCACAACACATTTAGTGAACATTGAAAACGTTGTGGATAACCTTAGCTTATTAGGATATAAATTACCATATAATGATGTGAGACAGTTTTGAAAAGATTTTTCTTGATTTTGAAAGTAATTTTCACTATGAAATGAAATCAGGTCGAGAACCATTGAAGATCAAGGAAAATCGAGAAGCTGTTTGATCCATGGACTTCAGAACTCCTCTGTGACACGTGACTTAGGATTGCGCACGTGAATGGATTAATAATTTTTAGATCGTGTGGAGAGTATGATATCGATAAGATATTATCGAATTGTTATTCAATAGCCTGTTTTTTTTAACTTCAATCAAATAGTATGACAGCATGATCCTTAATTAGTAGTATCACAATTAGCAAAAACTATTTTACTCTCACATGTCACTAGTTATCATTAGAACTCCAAGAAATCTATGTTAAGAGGTTATTTCCTATTGAGCATATAAACACTAGTAGGTTAAGAGGGCTAAACAGAGGTGTGTGTATTTTGAAGGTGACTTCCATCACGAAACCAATATTAAGTCGAAAAACTAATGAAAATTACGATCAAAATTTTTAACCAAATTACTTTTTAAAGAGTACACACGCTAACTTACACGAACTGTTGGAACAAGTTCCAATAGTCCAAACATAGTTGACATATCAATTAAAGATTGCCGTACTTCACGATATACCGTACCCAGAAAATTCAATGGTATCGATAGTTGGAATAATAAACCGTTTACGAGAACAAGATCTCCCACAGTCAAAGATTTAGCTAGACTACTTATCCCAGTGGCTTCAAGAACATGAGCAGCTGTTGTTGGATCAGTTAGACCGGAAGCAACTTGATTTGCAACTGTTATCATTGTAGCAGCTAAACCAACAGAGAATATAGCAGCCTGACCGAAGTTAAGTACGGCCAAGCTAGTTGTTGTTCTAACACTGGCCTCTTCGTATTGGGCTTGAAGTTTGTCATAAAGTTCTGCTTCACGCTCTTCGTTGTTGAAGTACTAAACAAACAAGAAAACGATTTTCAAAAATAACGAGAAGTTAATAGGTTGTTAATCAACCATAACAGGATTATAAAAAATAGAACGAAAATTGTAAAAGGGGCTTATCGAAGCTTTAATGTTTTTCACTGGAGTAAATAATCATCAACTGACCGCATTAGTAACCTTCACATCTGCTGTAGTTATTAAGGTACAATAAAAAAGCAATTTACGATTGATCCAAAAACTACTGCACTTTATATCAAATATGAATCACTGCAAAGTAAGGTAATTTAACTTTTGATCGTGAACAAGGTGATTATGAGTGTTATCATAAATGTGTGGGTGATTACTACAGTTCGTTTGCACTCGAGATCACATTTCTCACGACCCCAAGTTAAACTGAGTTAAATTTAACTTGTGAACCAGAGTACACTGCTTAATCAGTACATCATAGCACTGAACAATAAGAAATAGGAAATAATAACGAAAAATAAGTGACAGTAAATTATTAGAGACAGATGAATAAGAGAAAAAGTGGAACTTTGAAGATTATTTTGAGTATATTTAGACTTTTGCCATTCCCATATTTCTCTAATTGTAAGCTCTTATCCAACTCTTAGTATATCTTGTACTATTCATAAATTAAAGTTAATTAATGTACGTGTTATTCAGCTTCATATTACGAATGACTTAGCTATGTGTAGATTGTGCTGTTTATGGTGCGTTTTGGAATTGTAATTCATGTATACTATCATGTGAGTCTGAGTTAGATATAAACAGAGTAAATAGGCTGGCGTTTTTTCTGTTTTTATTGGGGAGGCTAGGGACAGAAACACGTTTCGTGGGTCAATCAGGGTTAGCTCATTCGTAGACACTGTGATGATTGAGGTAAGCGAAGTCATTACTAGTAGACTCAACAAATTAATGATTCCACTAAATAACCTTATAGAGATTGACTTCCGACCATAAATGATATCCATCTACTATGTATTTTTTTTAAAACAATACATTGTTACTCTTACTTTTACAGTTTCATAATTAATAAGTGAGTCAGTAGCTTGACTTGCAGCTCGTCCATCTGCTTTATTCATTTGAACACGAAATTGAGTACGCCAACGAGTAACAGCAAATGTGAATGCTGTATAAGCAGCTATACAACTAAGTGCAATTGTACTGGCTGCTACTCCATATTTATAATACTAAACAAGAAAACAACATTAAAAAGCTGAAATTAGGATGAAATATTCAGATATAATTTGTGAAAACTCGTATTTTGTTATTTCGTATATCAGAATAAATAACAAGTATAAGAGATATTTACCTTTATATACGATAGTAAGAGAAAAATGTGAAACGTAAAAAAAGACCTAATTAAAAGGCACACTTTATATCTAAATATATGACGAAATTTTCAAACACCTATTTATACACTGCTAGTTAACAAGTAACTGAACAGTAGTTAGCGGTACCATTCTGTCTACTGTTGAATGACATGTATTAATAAGTTAAAGATACACTTGGTAATCCAACTTCTAAAGAATTTATATTTGATTGTTAATTTTATTTTGGCTTTCCTACCGGTTAAAAAATATCCTTTCTTGACTTTTCTCGTTTAATACTAATAACTTGTGAATCCTTTCATTCTTCATTACTTTTGTCGGTGGCTGGGAACAGTGCATTACGCATCTTTAGTTACCGCTTAACCCAATGTAAAATGCTTGCTAAGATAAGTGCAGGTTAGAAAAAGACTGCAGGCGACATAGTATCAGTTCATGGAGCTATTGAGAGAGGTCGCGAGTTACTGGTTAAGGTTATACAACAACTGTAACGTATAACTGGAGATTTTAGGTGAGGTTCGTCTAAAGAGTGAGTTCAATATCATCACCCACTTTTTTCCTTCTCTGACATTATTCGTTCCTTTTGAACCATAATTTTTTTGTCTTTAGCTTTTCATTGGAGCCGATTTGATTATATAACAATTGTCTGTCGTGGTGTAACAAACAACTCATTGCTTGGAAAGTTTGTATGAAGACTAAGAAATCTGGTGGTCGCAGCGTACTAACGAGTTAGAAGCAGCGATTGCATCTGTTAACCGCCAAAAGCTCTTTCGATTTGTCTGAGCCAGTGGCAGCAAGAAGTCTGGTGTGAGAAGAACAATCTGTGAAGCTGACAGGAAGTTATTAAATAACATCTACAAACGCCTTAAAAAATGGACAGAGTTTTTAGAGGAACAGTTCAGTAGGTCTAATGTCCCGGCAACATTGATCAGACTGTCCCATCTTCAATGGTCGGCAACCAAGGATCTACTCGACGAGGTGGAAGTCCGTAAGAAACTCCGACTCCTGACGCACCACAGATTTTTGGGGTTAGATAGCTTAACCCTGGCCTTTTTTTAAAGTATGATGGTGAGCTTCTGGCTAGGGAACGGACAGTCTTTTGCAAACGTCTGTCAACTAGTTTTTCAATACCCTGAAATGAGTCGATAGCCACCTTCGATTTATTGGACAGGACTGTTCTCTGGGATCGTTATTTGAAAACCGGCACGCCTGAGAAGATTACTAACATCTTGAAAACCCTAAATGCAAACACCTCAGGGTAAGTGAGGGCATACAACCACCTTTCTTTATTGTTCCATCCAAGCAGTGGGGTTAGGTACGGTTGTCTAATCTCACCATTCCTCTTCAACTTTCCCGTCGACAATGTTCTGGAAACAGCAATGATAAATGTAGGTAATGGTGGTGTGGATCTGTTACCAGGAGAAACTTTTCAACCTTGAGTATGCGGATGATAACGTCTTACTGTGCAATGATATCCAAGCCATGCGATCCGCATTTTATCAGTTGGCAGTCAGTGTCCGTAGATGAGGCATGTTCTTTGCACCTTCCAAGTGCAAAGCACTTTTACAAGACTGGCAGGGCCCTGAACATGCACTCACTCTGGCTAGTAAGCAGACAAAAGTAGTCCAGAATTTCGCGTATCGGGGTAGCTACATAAGTGCTGGTGGTGGCGTGAGATCAATTCACGTACAGTGAAAACCAGAGTGGCTTATGCCAATCTGAACCATCTTTGGAGCCTTCGTAATGTTGGTCTGGCTGTAAAAGGTCAGATTTACAACGCATTAGTGAGAGCAGTCCTGCTCTAAGCATGTGAAGCATAACCTCTTCGAGTCGGGGAATTTGAGCGACTGTCCGTGTCAGATCATCGTTCTCTCTGAAGGATTGTTGACATTCAGTAATAACACTATGTTAGTAATGCATAGGTTCGGCACAGCTACTATAATTCGATTGCTGTCACTATCTTGAAACATCGACCTCGGTAGCTTGAACATGTTCTACGAATGCCACACCAGAGAATTCCACATCGTGCATTATTTGCCGACCCTGGGACTGGTTGGAAAAAGTAGAGGTGATCAGTTTATAACATGGTAGTGTGGTATGGAGGAAAGCTGTACAAGACTGGTATCTGTCGATCCTTAACGACTCCCTAGTTGAGGTCCTAGAGATAGCGCAACACAGTGACTAGAGACATTATCAGACATGGCTCAGAATCAAAGCCAGTGACGGTCCTGCTGTAATTTTTTTTCCACTTTTTTCATAAGTGAACTTTAACTGAAAGGATTCTTTCTGGTTGTATTTTTCTTAACTGAACTACTTCTATTATTTGCTTTTACCCATCCACTCATTTTTATTCACCCATTGTTTCTTAAAGCTTATTATACTCACCTTCCTTTCCCTATCCCTTTACAATCTCACTTTTTTATTGTGTGGTGCAAATATATTTTTGTGTTTCTTTGTAACAATATTTATGTATTTTAATAATAATAATAATAATAATAATAATAATAATAATAATAATAATAATAATAATAAAAGTTGCGTTGGCTTTTAATGACAAACATGAGATTTCCAATGACAAGTCACTATTTTTCACGAAATACCGAAACCAATCTACCATCAAAGATATCAAGTAATGATGCACCAGATTCTATGACTGAAAATTACATGATATCATAACACTAATCTTGAAATGCACAGAAAAAATTAATAACACTTCCCAGTCAAATACCCATATCTTACTGTTTATAATAATCTATATTTTACTATATAAGTAAAGCGAAAGTGAAAGTCTTCGAACTACTTACAAATAGTTATGTAGTCTTTTGTTATCTCATTTTTCCATCATAAGATGTTACCAAAATATGAATCCTATCTAACTTAAGGGCTGATATGTTGGCTTGAAAGATTTGTTTCAATAAATTATCCTAATTTTTAGATTATTCAGTAAAGGGAAAGTCAGTCAGTCACAACGTAGAACTTCGTATGTACGTACATCAGTTCGAGTTGCCATACCACATTAACACAGAGATGCAGTTGTCGATTCAAATCCCATAGTGGTAGAAGTAGTAGGAGTATAATCAGAAATCCAAAAGATTAGGGTTTGAAGAAATTATTGAAGGAGTATAGTACAGTGAAATAAATTTGGAAAGAGAAAAACATAAAGACATGAGGAATTCAGAAGATTAGTAGTTGGTAGAACACAAAGAGTGGATGCACCTTCGCCATTGCAAACGATTTTGAGCCATGTCATTCAAGGTCTCTAACCATCGGTTGCTATCATCTCGCAAATCCCAACCAGGTAGTCTACACCTACCAACATGGCTCAGTCCAATTGTCAGTGACTTCATTGATTTGTGCCATGTTTTGGTCTGGCCACCCCTAGCTTTCTTCCAACCTACTCCTACACCATGAAACATTGCACGTCGGGGCAGTTGGTGGTTGGGCATACGTAGCACGTGTTTCAGCCATCTCAACTGATGAAGTTTCACAACTTCATCAATCGATTTGCCATCCCTACCTAGTACTCGTTTCCTAACAACTGCATTACTTACCCGGTGGTCCTAGGATATACGAGCAATGCGTCGAAGACACCTATGATCGAACATTAGTAGCCTACGAATATCCTCTACTCTTATCGGCCATGTTTCACTGCCATAAAGTAGGACGGAGCGAACTGCTGCACAGTGAACCCGTCCTTTGGTTGCTAGACGGATATCTCGCCTACGCCAGAAATGACGCAAGTTGGCGAAAGCTAGACGAGCCTTCTGTATCCGTGCTGAGATTTCGTCAAACACCAGACCACAAGGGCTGATGAGACTCCCAAGATAAGTGAAGTGGTCTACACGCTCAACTACTTCACTCCCTATCATTAGTTCAGGTGTCGCTGCATCCCAATCCTGAAGTAACTTTTTGCACTTCGAGGGAGAGAATCGCATCCCGAACATGCCTGCATTGTTGCTTATAGTGGTCAGAAGACTCTGCATGTTGCCAGCGTCTTCACCGAGTAAAACTATGTCGTCGGCGTATTCTAAGTCAACAAGTGAGCCTCCTGGTAAAAGTTCAACTCCTGGAGGTTTAGCTGATGAAAGTGCTATCTCTAAAAGTATGTCAATGACAAAGTTAAACAAGAATGGGGAGAGTGGACAGCCCTGACGAACGCCACTTGTGGTAATCAGTTCTGATGACAGTTCGCCATAGGCTCTAACTCGACCAGTTGTGTTCGAGTAGAGAGCCTTTATGAGGTTAATGTACTTCTTTGGTACTCCTTTTAGTGACAAACATTGCCATAGAACCTCACGATCAACGGAGTCAAATGCCGCCTTACGGTCAAGAAATACTACTATTGTGGGACGTCTGAATTTGTGTCTATGTTCTAGAACCTGACGTAGGGTGAATATCTGGTCTATGCAACCACGTCCAGGTCGAAAACCAGCCTGGTTTTCTCTAGTCTGCTCTTCACGAGCTTTGGTTAGGCGACCTAGTATTATTGAAGCTAATATTTTAGACACTATGTTAGTCAAACTGATCCCTCTGTGATTGTCACAGGAGGACTTTTGTCCTTTCTTATAGACTGGCACAATCAGTGATTGGGACCAGTCAGATGGAATTACGTCCAGTTCCCAGATTCTACCTAAGACCTCAGTCAGTCTCACTGTTAGTACTGGACCACCATCCTTAAAAATCTCAGGGGTCAACCTGTCAGGGCCTGCTGCTCTCCCTCGCTTCAGATTCCCTACAGCATTTTCAACCTCACAGAGGGTTGGAGGACTTACATCAATTTGCCATTCAGGACGACTGGGGATCGTGGGTAATTGAAGCGTGGCTGAAGGCCAGTTGAACTGATCCATAGTGTTCTGCCCATCGATCCAATCTCCTGGATTGAGAATGAATAATATGCCCATCTTTATCTGAGATGGTTTCACTGATATTCGGGTTCCTAATACCCGTTTCTTTAATGAGTCTGAATAGCTGTCTGCTGTTACCTATTGCCACTGCCTTTTCCATCTCTCTTGCTTTCTCTACCCACCACTGTTCACGATCATTACGTAGGCTTCTTATAAGCCTGCGCTTAAGTTGACTCCGCTCTTCGCTATGCTCAGAGCCAGGTGGGATGAGTTTACGAGCATCTATCAGTGCGGTAGATGCTGCCGAGGTCCATTGTTTCTCCCTAACCTTATGGTTTACCTTACTAGCGGATATCACTGCTGTTTCCACAGCTTTTCGGATGTTATTCCACGCTGCCTCGGGGTGGACACAACTTACATGGCTGCCTAACTGTTTTTCTAGTTGTTCCTGAAATATATTCTTAGCTTGCCTATCATTAAGTAGAACCCTTAGAGGCTTCCCTGCCGTGTCTTTCCTACGACCAGTAAGACGCAGACAGATACGTGCTCGCACTAGAGCATGATCTGAATCTAAACATGTGCCCCAGAATGAGCGACAGTCTTCTATCGAGCCCCTCCATAGGTGGCTGATAGCGATGTGATCTAATTGGGTCCAACGTTGGGACGAATTCGGGGGTCGCCATGTCAAAAGATGTTTTTTCTTATGCTTAAAGTTAGTATTTGCAAGAAATAGGCGGTTATCTGAGCATAGCTGCAACAGACGGTCGCCATTATCTGTTCTTTTCGCCATGACACCATAAGATCCACCCAGGTGTCTTTCCCTTTCACTTAGTTTACCTACTTGAGCATTAAAGTTACCTGCTACTATTACTACATCAGAACGCCTAGCTTCTCGGAGAAGGTCAGAAAGTTTCCTGTAGAACTCATCTTTTATATCGTCTGAGCTGCAGTCAGTGGGAGAGTAGGCAGAGACGAGTTTTCCTATCTTTTCGGGTCCTTACTGATCCGTTTAGTCGGACAGCGCATAGACGACTGTCTACTAGGATCCAGTCTAAAAGAGCTAGTCCTGTCCTAGGACTTAATGCTATACCTACTCCAGCGAGGCCACGGGAAGCAGCACCAGGGCTTCCAGATACACGAAGCGTGTATCGAGATGAAACTTTATTTTGATTAGATGCGGTCAAATGAATGACACTACTCGGATCTTGTATGCGCGTTTCGGAGACGCAGCACACATCGATGGTGTAAGATTCTAGAGTCCTAGTTAAGGAAGCCTGTTGTCCTATTTGGCACAATGTTCGGACATTAAAAGTTCCTATATGTAGTTTAGAGCGTGGTTTCAGGAGACCAGGAATAACGTTCTGTGTACTCGAATCGTTTTCCCTAGCGGTGCGAGGTGATAAAAGGACGTGAGAAGGGTTAGTTGTGGAGATAAGAGTTATTAGGTGCAGGAAGGATTTGAATATGACCAACTTGGTCTCGTGTGCTGTTGCGGGTATGAGGACTAATATCACTTCCCGACTGCCCACACAGTCGAAGGGTATTTTCTTGAGGGACCTGAAAAAGAAGTTGGATTGGTGTTGGTCTTAACGACCTGGGAGCGTGACCGCAGTGCCCAAGGGACAACTGCTTGAGGCCGGTCACGCACGGCCTTTTTGTGGGGGATTTTTGACGTGTTAGCTCCGTTCTTCAAAAGTCCTTACCGCCGGAGACGGAAATCCGTGGGATAAGGCGAGGTGTGCATTTTTAGGGTCGACCTTTTCTTACCCCACCCCTCCTTGTGGGAAGGCAGCATTGCTGTCATGCTGGTTGTCTGAAGGAAACACCTTACTGCTTTCACACCTCTGTACAGTCAGCAGTACGACTTCGCCTTCGGACCTTGGGATTGCTGCTTTTAGTCTCACCGCTCTTCAACCGACCTGTCTGGCATGGCAGGACCTTGAGGAACGATTGTTCCAGCCAGCATAGCTCGATTGGATCATCACGATAGGCAAGCCCGACCACCACGTCAAGGTAGCAGCAACGGTCGAGTGAACAAATTTATCAGGCACTTGTTCAGCACCAAGTACAGATTTACTTACTTTACGTCAAACTCTACTCTAAATGTGTGGGGGATAATGATACTATGTGATCGTTTGGACCAAGGTAATTGGTGTATGATTCAAACCCGTGACTTGGTGACTGAAATTTGAATGCTTCAAACATTGAGTCATCGCTATACACTTAAAAGTGATAAAAGTCTTAATAATTTACAGACAAATAGCGTGAGTTTAAATGTTAATTTTGTACAATGCGCAAAAAGTAAAACATTAAACCACATAATTGTTAAAAGCCAATCAAAAATTAGTTTTGTTTACCCATATAATCGATAAAACTGAAAATACAGTTTTTCGTAGTCAAAGGTTACACAATTAGTCATTTAATACAATAAAAATAGTAAAATAAATCGAAAATGTTTAACAAATGCAACACCGAAATATTTTACAAAATATGAAGCCAATGATGGGGAAATTTTAAAGGTGACATGTCTTACATTAACTCGGCGCTCAGATACTGTGAAACTATTCGCTCTAATTTAGACGAAAGTCCTTATATAAACTTGCAAAGAATTTACAATTCCAAAGATAAACTTTAAGTCATGAATGTAATGATCATTAATTACAGCTCATTCTGGATTTCACAAAAACCACTAAGAGTAAACAACAAGAATCTTAGTAAAAAACATTATTTTGTTGTTCATTCATTGAGACGTACAAACTTTTCTATAATGGAAGCATAGAAAATATTCACATTTATAAATAAAATCGAGAAGTAAGATACAATCTTACCAAAATACCCGTTACGACAGCAACTTCGAATGTGGTGGGAAATAAATTGAAAACCATTGCAGTCAATATAAAATTTATTCCCCTAGCACCACGATCAATCGCTTTACCTAATGCGCCAGTTCTTCTTCCAAGATGATAACTTAAATCAAGATTGTGCATATGTCGAAATACTTGAACTCCGACTTCTCGAATTGAAGAGAGAGCAGCTTTAGCGAAAACTGCAGTACGTAATTCATTCAAACCAGAAGCAGTAGCTCTAAACAAACCATCTGTTAACAAAACGGAAGATAGGTTGAAAGGATTATAAATAGGAATAAAAAGGAAGAACTAGAAAGAGTTGTAAATAATAACGAATTTATAATTCGGGATAAATTATCTTTAAGTAATCGATGTAACTACAAATATTTTATACTAAGTTCCGAAAAAGACTTTTTACTAAACAGATAGTGGCACCATAATGAGAAGCTAAACCGACACGAATGAGGTAGCATTCCAACCTGTGCTACCATAGTTGAAAATCGGGAACGTTTCTTTACCACAAAGTTGTCGTTACAATTATTTACCATAAATAAATTTGAGCGAACTGACCAGTCAGTCAGTCAGATACAACGTAGGACCAGGCACATTTATGCATCGGTCCAAGTTGCCATACGTCGTTAGCACAACAAGATGAACTGATCAGTCGGTGTTATATAAAACGTTGAAGAGTAATAAAATACACTAGTTATATAAAATAAATAAGAGCTACGTCACCACAAATGCTTTTAATTCGGAAATATGTATCACTCTACGTCGCCCTTATTTTCAGTATTACAAGTAAGTCACATAAGATATGAAGCGACCAGACAAACAAGTGATGGGATTCGCAGCTACAAGTTGTTTTTGAATAAAGATTAAAGTATTTCCAGAAAATTATTTCGTAACTAAAAGTAATGAGTAGATCTAGGCAACTACAATCTATTAAGGGTGACATGGGACAATGAAGCAGATACATTCGTTCTCTGTCTATTTTCATAACCTTGCCTTTAATATAAACTGATACTCCTTATTTTGCGCATTCGTTCCTTGTTTTTAACTGTATTTCTTATTTCCAGCATTTTTTCATTATCAATGGCATCAATGCCAATTCTGTTACAATTGTATTCATCTTAATTCTATCTTGCTATGCTGCTGTGGTGTGACAAAATGGGCCGCTGGAGATTTGGGATGTGTTACATTTCCCATAGATCGTTAATGTCAAAGACTCTTTAATATCCCAAATCAATATCAAAATATGGGCTTACTTACAGCATCCACGAAAGTAAATGCTCTCTATAACTAAAGTTTACAAACATATCCTTGATCCTATTGCACTTAACAAAAAGGGATTCACATTACAAATTGACTATAGATAGTTGTATGTAACTACATCTCGTTCTGCTCTAATGGTAAGCCAACTTGGCCAAACAGAAATTTATCTCAGGCTCTGCATCGATTATGAATACCGTTCGGGTCATTACAACGTGAAACAATAAATAAAAGAGTACAAGAAATTTCATCCACCTACTTAGATTGTATATAAGACCAGAAAATCAAATAACTAAACGCGCAACTCTGGTCATATTGGTCACTTCGTTTTCATTCAAATAATCAATTCCAGACACATAATTGTACATCTTACACACATTAATTATACGATAGCATTAATTTTGCAAACTTTAATTTCTGTACATTTGCATACCACTCCATATTCAATGAGTTTCATTTCATACCATCGCATTGTCTGTTCGGGTTTTTCGATTACTAATGACCTGAATAAAATCCAAGTACTCGTAATACTCTCGTTCTCATCATACCAATGCAGTCATGATTATTGTCAAAGATGAAGTGTGATTAAGGATCAGAATTCATAATAAAAATAGCACACAACATGAGATGCCAATGACGGGATATAACAATACTGTCGACCACATAAAGCGAGACAAATAATACCAAAAGTAGGGAGGGCAAATAATAAAATTTTCAACATCTAGATTCGTGACAACGAAACTGTATCAAAGCCTGCTAAGTAGATAGAAAATGGCAAAAGTATTTTTATTTATTGTCTTCAGCATATTGTCCTGAATTAAATTAGGTTTATGTTTGATACATAGTAGCTATGGCTCAAAAAATGAGCGAAGCTTTTTAAAACAAGCACACTGATAAAGATAGTAGTAAAGCCAATTAGAGCAGAAACTGTTTGAACATTATTATCGTGGAAGCATGAACATGCTTTTTAAGCAACTTGACTTAGAGTAATGCTATGAGAACTTTAATGCTAGACTTGTACTGATAAAAATTACTGTTAGTAAATAATGTACTAGTTCCTGGTAGAATCCAAGGCTATGTTAATGACAATAATTTTGCAGACTTCAGAAAATATGCGTAAAAAATTTGGGAAGGTGGTGACTTATTCAAACCAAGCGTATTTATTGTTAGACATACCTATTATCGAGTATACATACGATACAATTACCTGCACTTCCTGTTTCGTACAAAAGATATGTTGCTTAAGCATACGGTTTGAAATTTATACTCTTACCAATAAACACGAAATAAATTTCTTACACGAAATTAAAATGGTTGTAGCTGCCACGCTAGGACTTGTATCACCTAATAACAATGGAGTTTCTCCTGACAAACAGTCCACTGCAATTTTGAAAACAAATGGAACTAAAACATTAACACATTTGGAAGACAATAACAACAACATTGCCGCGACTACACGCAAACGGATTTCTGGCCTATCCTTTGGCCAAACATATTTTAGAAGTCGTCTAATAATAGTCCAGTCGGATAAAATCTAAATGAAATTAAAATGCAGACAAATAAATTTGAGTTAATTATAAGAACAAAAGGCTGAAAATCGATAAGGCCCACTTCAGACTAAATGACAGAACTAGATAGAACTTACGTAGTAACTGATAGCTAGTCCGTATTTCGATCAAATTAACGGCTGATATTTCATCAAATAAGTTAATTGGAATGTAAGGTAGTGTAGTACATTTCACTTGAGGATGTCTTGTAACACAAATCAATGTTCTGGACTCAAAATTTCAAAATATGAGATAGCCTACAAGCTTACATGACATTCTGGTTCACATCACACAATATCACAAAAAGAAAAAGGAATTAATGAAGATGGAGACAATGAATGAATGGGCAGTGGATAAGTAGGATGTCTGACAGAACATAAAAACTGAGTGAATCTTTACTGAGATTTTTGTGAGGTATATCTCCTGAAATTATTACACACTGAACTCAAAAACTTTGTGGATGACAGTTAATAAGTTTGCACGGTTCCAGAATACAAGGCTGACAAAATCAAATTATGTTAATCCGGGTTTCGATATGAAACCGAGCCGCTAAAAATCAAGTATTTTAAGTTATCACCATTTTCTATTGGAAGATATGTTTATCTTTAAGACACAGTCACGTCTACTAGTACAACGACCTAACGCAATAAGTCAGTCAGTCAGCTACAACGCAGGACCAGGCACACATATGCATCGGTCCAAGTTGCCTTGCCTCATGAGCATATTATTTTATTTATTTATTTATTTATTTATTTATTTATTTAAACACATATATATTGGTACAAAAGGGCACCAGGTACATATGCGCCACACAAAATAATGAAAGTAGGAAGAGAAGGGATGAAAAGATAAGGCGAACTGAAATGTACAACCAGAAGATTCTTTCAGTTAGGAAAGTTAGAACCATTCTTTATGTAGAAAGTAAAAGAAGGTTGCAGCAGGATCGCCACTGGCTTCTATTCTGAGCCATATCTGATAACGTCTCTAGCCACTGTGTTGCACTATCTCTCGGACCCCAACCAGGGAGTCGTGAAGGACCAACGGAAGCTAGCCCTTTGCAGCTCTCTTTCATGCCACGACACCATGTCATACACTGACCTCCTCTCCACTTTTTCCGACCAGTCCCAGGATCAGCAAATAATGCACGACGTGGAAGTCTCTGGGACGACATTCGTAAAACATGTCCAAGCCACCGAAGTCGGTGTTTCAAGATGGTGGCACAAATTGAATTATCGTCTCTGCGCCCGAACACACGATGCCGAACCTCTGCATTACTAACATGGTGTTGCCACTGGATGTCAGCAATCCTTCGGAGACAACGATGATCAAACACAGAGAGTCGTCTAACATCCTCAACTAGGAGGCCAGGTTTCACAAGCATAGAGCAAAACTGCTCTCACCGACGCGTTGTAGATCCGACCTTTTACAGCCAGACAACACATCACGAAGGCACCAAAGATGGCCCAGATTGGCATAAGCCGCTCTGGCTTTCATTATATGTGCATCAATCTCATCACTCACGCCACCACCAGCACTTATATAGCTACCTAGATACACGAACCTCTCAACTACTTCGATCTCCTCACCATCCAGGGTGAGTACAGGATGAGAATCCTGCCAGTCTTGTAGGAGTACTTTGCACTTGGAGGGTGCAAAACACATGCCGTACATGCGGACACTGATTGCCAACTGATTAAGTGCGGATTGCATGCCTTGGGCACTATCGCACAGTAAGACAATATCATCCGCATACTCAAGGTCGAGAAGTCGTTCTCCAGGCAACATATCCACAACGCCATTACTTACATCCATCAGAGCTGTTTCTAGGATGTCGTCGATAGCAAAGTTGAAGAGGGATGGTGAGATTGGGCAACCCTGCCTAACCCCACTGCTCGAATGGAACAAGGGAGAAAGGTGGTTGTATACCCTCACTCTGCCTGAGGTGTTCGTATACAGAGCCTTTAAGATGTTAATGAACTTCTCAGGCACACCCTTCTTCAATAGACAATCCCAGAGAACAGTCCTGTCCAACGAATCGAAGGTCACCCTGGTATCAAGAAACACTACGATTGTTGGCCTGCGATAAGTATGACGGTGTTCTAACATTTGGCGGAGGGTGAAGATGTGATCAATGCATCCTCGACCAGAACGAAAACCAGCCTGCTCCTCGCGAGTCAATCGTTCTCGGGTTTTAAACAACCTACGAAGAATGATAGAAGCCAATAGTTTGGACGCAATCGGAGGTAGACTTATCCCCCGATAGTTATCACAGGAACAACGTGAACCCTTTTTAAAGATAGGGACGACTATTGACTCATTCCATGATGTTGGAACACTTTCTTGCTCCCAAACCTTTCCAAACAACACAGTCAATTCCTTAGTCAGAAGGTCACCACCATCTTTAAAAAGAGCAGGAGGTAAGTCATCTGGGCCCGGTGATTTGTAACGTTTCAAGAGTCGGAGTTCCTTGCGAACTTCCGCCTCGTTTGGTGGATCAGTCGTCACCGGCCATGGGGGGCAGGACAAGCTGGTTGATGTTGCCGGAGCAACAGGCCAGTTGAACTGCCCTTCGAAAAATTCCGCCCATCGTCCAAGACGTCGACAGATGTTAGTGATTGGCAAGCCGTCATCCTCGTAGATTGTTTCACTCACACCAGACTTCTTGCTGCCAGTGGCTCGGATGAGTTGGAAGAGCTTCCGGCAGTTACCAGATGCAGCTGCTGCTTTCATCTCATTAGCACACTCCGACCACCAGGCTTCCCAGTCCTTACGCAAGCTTTGCCTGTTTTCATTACGTAACAGCCTTCGTTTGTGGTCAAACTCATGGTCACCCGGAGTAGACCGACGGGCTTCCATCAGTTGTAAGGAGCCACAAGAAACCCAGTGCTTGTAAGCGGGACGTTTCGCGAAGCTGCAAGCGGCTTTACTCGCCATTTTCATGGCGTCGTGAAGAAGCAACCAATGCTCATCTATACTTTTCGGTGGGGTGGTAGCTAGCCTAGAGGCTAGCTCCGCTCGATACTTACTTGCAACAGAAGTTGCAGCCAGTTTACTAACATCAATCCGTTGGTGGTGGTCAATCCTTCGGCCACTGAAAAGTAAGGTGAGATTGGCGCAGACCAGGGCATGATCAGACTCCAGATAGTTACTCCAAAAAGAAGCGGCAGTCTTGTACACAACCACGCCAGCGGTAGCTGATCGCGATGTGATCAATCTGAGTCCAGGCTTGGGATGAAGAGGGAGGACGCCAGGCGGCACACCGGCGATGACTGTGCCGGAAGTTAGTGCTGGCCGGAAACAGGTTGTGGTCTGTGCACAGTTGCAGCAAACGGTCCCCGTTATCTGCCCTGCGACCAACAAGTCCCCATCGGCCACCTAGATGACTCTCTTCTGTGCCTAGACGCCCGATCTGTGCATTCAAGTCTCCGGCTAGTACTACAATATCTGTCGAACGCGCTTTCTGGAGAAGAACTGTTAACTGATGGTAAAACTCATTCTTGATTGCATCCACGCTGCGATCTGTCGAGGCATAGGCAGAGATGACGAAAAGACACCGTTTCTCACGCCGATTTCTTCTCACTTTGATGGAACTTTCTAATCTAACAGCACATAACCGACTGTTAATGGGGATCCAATCGATTAGTGCTGCCTCAGCCCTAGCGCTTAGTGCGACACCAACGCCAGCAAGACCAGACGAAGATGCCACAGGGTCCCCGGATAAGCGCACGTGGAACAAGCTTTTCGAGGCGACAGATGGAGAGCGGATTTGTAGTACTTCACTAGTCTCATCAGCATAAGATGAACACGAAATTCATAGAAGTAGCTAATTTAATTATGGTAATATATAAAAGATTGTATATAAGGATATAGTACGGGAAGAAAGACAATTTTAATCTCAAGGTTTAAGGGAAGATAGTGTATACACCTACGTCATTATGATCGATTCTAAGCCGTCACCTAGAGTCTCCAATCATTCGTCACGATAGTCACGCGGACCCCAACCAAGTAGTCTGCATCTACCAACATCGCTCAGACTAGAAGTGACTTCAAGCTCTGATGTCAAGTTTTGGTTTGGCCTTCACCAACTCTCTTCCAACCATCCCCAATACTAGTCAGCATAGCAAGTCGTGGAAATCGGTGTTCAGGCTTACGTAACACGTAGCTCAACCATCTCAGTCGATGAAGACTAATGATCTCATCAGCTGATTTACTATCATTCCCTAATACCCTACATCTAACCTCACTATTACTTACCCAGTAATCCCAGCAGATGCGAGTAATATTTCTAAGACATCTGTGGTCGAATACTAGTAACTTGCGAGTATCCTCTACTAACCCATTAGGGATGATCAGACTTCCAAGATAAGTGAAGTTGTCAACGCGGTTGACTACTTCACTCCCTATCCTTAGTTCAGGTGTTGACACAGGTCAGTCCTGGACTAACAATTTACATTTAGAGAGGAAGAAACGCATCCCAAACATCCTGGCATTGTTACTCTGTGCTACCAAAAAACTGCATTTTATCAGCGTCTTCACCAAATAGGACTATGTCATCTGCGTATTCTAAGTCGCTTAGTGGTCCCCCTGGTAGGAGATCAATTCCTGTAAATTCAGTCGACGAGAGTGTTATTTCCAGCAGTAAGTCTATGGTGAAATTGAACAGAAATGCAGGTAGTGGACAGTCTTGTCGGACACCACTTGAGGTTGTAAAATCATATGACAGTTCGCCATAAGCTCTCACTCGACTGGTAGTGTTCGAGTAAAGAGCCTTCACAAGGTTTATGTACTTCTGAGGTACACCTTTCAATGACAGACACTGCCACAGAACCTCTCGGTCTACAGAGTTTGAGCTAATGGAAATGTATCAGACTCTACATTGCGTTTAACTGAATAACTGATCTCAGTGACGAGTTCAGATATCTGAAGCCTAGTATACTACTTACTTTCGCATAGTAAGAGAAGAGTGAATATTTTGTAATAACTCGATAACATTGATAATTTCTTAGGACGTAAATGTTTGCCTTAGAATCTTTGCACGTAGTATACTATGAACAAATCAACTAATAACTATTAAATGTAATGTTTTTAACATCTCGTTATCTGGATGGAACTTCTGTTTCCAGTAGTTAAGAAGCGATGGACAGTATTTGCAGAAGATACCAAATAAACTGTTGAATCCTTCAGAGGATCAAAAACCATCAGATGGATTCATAATGAGAAATAACTTAATAATACAGTGAACATAAACATACTGACTTATTTTTTTATTCGTTGTTTAAGTCTTCCCATTGATGTTTAGAACTGAGATTGATGACAGACACTGCCACAGAGCCTCTCAGTCTACAGAGTCCAATCATGTTCTCAAGTCAAGAAAAACTATCATTGTCGGGCGCCGATAAACATGCCTGTGTTCTAAAACCTGACGAGTAGTGAATATGTGATCGATGCAGCCACGACCAGGTCTGAAGCCAGCCTGATTTTCTCGTGGTTGTAGTTCACGAGTCTTAGTTAGGCGCCCGATAATTAGGAGAGAAAACGATACTTGGTTGCTAACAGACCTAATGCAGATGAGAATTGACTCATCAATTAGGTCAAATGATTTGCTCTCTACACAATGGGTATAGTACATATTTATGAACAACGCGGCCAGAATACTTAATAGACATTATAATATTCTACAATTTGTTACTGTGCTTCTATAGTTTTGAACGATTTACACAAATGTGACTGGTCTGTCAAATATCAATGAAACAAACTGACTTCAAAAATGGAACTAGACAAGGACAATTCATGAATGTAGACTAAAAATACTTCCATAGGAATCTCATAAACGTAACCATTGTTCATAAAAGTCATACTAACGGAGTTTTTCTAAGTAATGATGAAGCAGATATACAAGGCTTCCGATTACATATGAAAGCAACACAAAATTGGTGGGAATTTCATATTTTAACTTACTGCTTTTTTTTCCAAAGCTGGATTTGATACATTATTTAAAGAACCATGAGAGTGCTGCAATCTCAAATTTAAAACTCCAGTTGGGCGGAAATGAAGTAAACCATCAGGCCTGGAATGGATTTTTTGCCTTCCATTTACATAATGAAATTTACTGGAAAGCACTCCACATACTGACTTACTGGCTAAAAGTTGGGAGAATGAAGTACTTCTGAATATACATTTATGAGTAGTAGCCAGTATTTTTGGAGTTCCGTTGATCATTACAAATCAGAAAAAGAAATAATATCCATATGAAAATGCCATGTGACAATCATTTTACAAAGCCATCCAGCTACGTGGTGTTTAGACTTAAGAAGTCCTCACGCAGGCTACAATTGTAATGTTCAGCCTTTGGTAGGTTTGCGTCTAGCCTGAAGATACCTTGTGTGCTGGGGGAATGTTAAGAGCAGTAAGATTATCTGGAAAGAAACAAGAGAAAAAGTGAGCCGACGACTCGCTAAGCACATAGAATGGATTTACGTTAAAAACGAAAGCAAATGAAAACGCTCATAAATGACACGAGCGTGAGATTAAGACAATCTGATAATCGAAACTAGAAGTTGATAGCGTAAGATTCCGTACGCGCTAGTCACCTGCGTCCTTGAGTGTAAGAATACTTAGAGTTTGCGCTAGTGAGATGTGCGCTCTTCACTGTCCAATATCTTCACCACGACCTGGTATTAACCGATTGGTTTGATTAATTGGTAATCTAGAAGATCGGATCGAAAGAGTTAGTAGAGAGGCAGAAACAATAATAAGAGAGGAATTAGTTATTGATTTTCCGTAATGATAACCGTGATAATTTATGAGATATGGATAAGAAACAGTCTGTCCAATAGGGGAATGGTGGTTCATGAGTGATTTCCTGTTTTTCAAGTCCCCTATGAAAGCTATCCACTAATTTTAGTGGTTAAGGTCGGAATAGAGAAAGCTTTCGCTTAATGGCCTTCTGTATCTTGTAGCAATGGATCATCTGTGCTCCAGGTAAGAACATAGCTATATTAACGATAAAAGAGGAAACAATTGGTAAAACTTAATGAGATATCGTCTTTAGTGCTTAAGGACATGTCAAGTTTTCTCCAAAGGGAGTACTGGGAAGTCTCTTGACCTAACTCAACTGGTAACGAATTCCAGCATTTGACCACTCGTAATGAGTATAGGGTGTGTCTACATTCCACTCTTCAACGGTTTTATTCATCCACATTTAGAGTATTTCCTCCCTCACACCAAAAGGATAAGGAAACTCTGGAACGTGTCCAATGGCGAGGCACGAAATTAATTTAAAGACTTAATTCCAAGTCTGTTGAAGAGCACCTCCAACCACTGAACCTTTACCTATTAAAGTACAGACGTTTTAAAGATGACTTTCTAGTGACTTACAGAATCTTGTACACTCCTGAGCATCCCCTTAAACACCCAATTAAGCTTAGTTAACACGAACCCTAGGAGTAACACCAAGAAACTGGAGACACAACATAACAGAGTGAACTGTAGACACACCCTATACTCATTACGAGTGGTCAAATGCTGGAATTCGTTACCAGTTGAGTTAGGTCAAGAGACTTCCCAGTACTCCCTTTGGAGAAAACTTGACATGTCCTTAAGCACTAAAGACGATATCTCATTAAGTTTTACCAATTGTTTCCTCTTTTATCGTTAATATAGCTATGTTCTTACCTGGAGCACAGATGATCCATTGCTACAAGATACAGAAGGCCATTAAGCGAAAGCTCCTTCTACTCCGTTCATAACAATTTGAACTATATGTACACACTCTAAGTGGAGTCAAATAAAACCGATGAAGATTAAGTGGAAAGTCGTACCGTCGAACAGGCCGAAAATTGCGTTTCAACGTCATTACCGCGAGATATGCTCGAAGAGATTTTGTCCGTCAGCTTAAGACTTCAGATCATAGAGTGCCGACACTTCTAGATTTTTTCCGATTTCGGTTACCTCTAGAGGGGAGTTGTGTAAGTTTTAGTTGTAGTTTGCAATATGTCTCGGACGGACTATTTTGCACTTTAGAATATCGAAGGTAAGTCCGTTGTCATCTGCCTAACTTTGAAGTCGTGCAGTCTCTTATCAGCAGCGAAAAGTAATAAATCAGACGATGCCTTCTGAGAGAGATCGTTTATATAAATTAGGAATAGCAGAGGCCCTAGTACTGAAAACGGACGGCCTCACTAGGACATAACGTAGCCTAAAAAAAGTGAAGTTAACCATGACTTTAAAATTTCTACTATTTAGATATGATATAACACACTCCTGCCAGGGTAGATGTGCGCAGTCTTTGCAGGCATGGTCTATAAGTCACAACATTGATTTGCTTGTAGTATGCTGACAAAGTATGGTTTTAAAAAAAAATAAGTAAAAATAAACTATGGCACATTCGTGCAAATGTCCCGAATTGTCAGTGATTAGGTTTACGTTTCACTATTGCATTGAGTGCAGTCTTTAAAGTATTTTTCCCAAATGCCATCGCGTCCACGTTGCACATTAGGTTCGAATCCGGCATTATTGTCTTAGAATTCTGGTCGAACTACGTATTTACGAAATACATCTTTTTAGGTTTGTAGTTGCTATACAGTAAACTTATAAAGCGCTTGCTATTATCTGTGATTTTGAAAAAATGAGTACGTCAAGTTTGTCACAGGCGTCAAAAGCTTCATAGCTGTGTCCTGAGAAGGAGCCTTCAGACAATAGAATGCAGTAATAAAGAACAATCGGTTGTGATATATAACAAAGTGGAGTAGGTTCAAAGGATGGAGGGGAGTTCGAAGTTAGAATAAAGAAAACTGGAAGGTGTATTAAGAGAGCAAAGAGTTAGGAAACATTAATAACTATAGCTTTTGTATGCTAATTTTTAAAAGCTTTTCCATCTGATGCCAGCAATAAGACCCTAATGTAAAAGTCAGAATTAGCATGTTAAAGGTTGCTTTAGTAAAATGGCTTATCCAGCAGAAAATTGGAAATATGAGTCTGGATAGTGAGTGTTGGAGAACGACCTCAGTATCACTGAATGATTTTCTCGTTCTCAATCATAAAGAGACTGATACAAACAAAATGTTCTGCCCCACAAACATGAGTGGATTGAAGTCATTGACCTCATCATCAGTGCTTGCTGCTCGGTAACTCAACCCTCCCTCCTTTTGTGATGGTAGGCTCATTTAGGCTTTTTTGGACATATATTATACATCACATGATGCTCTATCCCACATACTGTTGGAAAACACTATTTCCAGAAGTACCATTTTACAAGCTTATCAGGCAGTTACAAAACAAAAACTGTGGGTAAGACATCGATGCAATACTCGAAATGACTTTAGTATAAATTATGGGTCGCCAATCAAAGCATAGGCATTAAGTAGGATATAACGCACGATAGGTGTTTAAGGAAAGGTTAAATTAACCTTGACCTTAAAAGTTCGATTATTTAGGTAATAATTAGGCTAATCAGTTAACTGTGGCTTGACACTCCACCATCTGAGCCGATTGATAATGCGCATATTATTGGCCCTACCAAAGGTTTTTGAGTAGTCGATGTATATGACGTTAACCTTTCTCCTGCGATCAAGGATAGTTGTCCGTCTGTCTGCCATCGTCCGGCAAGTTGATTATATAAGAGTGACTTCCTGAAACGATAGTGTTCGGGTGAGAAGTTTATGAACATTATGTAGTCGTTTAAACCGTAGCATATCATGGACTCCATACTTTTTAGGGTATAGAGGTAAGGGCTACAGGTAGTTACAGGAACGCTATGTCAACTACCTTTGAAATTTAGTGTAATGTACTCTAGCTTGCACTTTGCTGGGATCCTGCCTTGACTTGGCGAATGTGAGAATAGCACACTAAGTGGTTTTGCCAAGATTGAAGCCACTTCCCTCAATACAGAAGAGTTGACCACTTCTGGCCCGTATGAACTAATTGAAGATACAAAAAGTAGAGCAACGCCGAATAAACTTAAGGCGGAAACCAGCTAAATATTACAGTCGTTAAAGGTTAAACTAGGATCATCATTAGGGCTCATGTCGTATCCAAAGAGTTGCAACCCTTGTAGATTCTATGGACTTTCAAAGATTCACAAGAATAGTACTCAACTAAGACCAGTGAATGATTTTAAAAATTCACCGACCTACAACGTAACGAAATACTTAACTATGATACGTAAACCGTATGAAAAACTGATTAATTGTCGTATTAAAAACTCTATGGAACTTAAGAATTTGATCGATACCATTGATATAGAAGAGGAGGGAGTAATGGTAAGTTTTGATATTTCTTCCTTAATTACTAACGTACCTATCAACAGGGCTTTGGATATTATTTATATTTGTTTGAAATCTGGTTTGGATTTAAATTTACGTCGCCCATTAGACCCATCTGAAGCTAAAAAAAATGCTTGGAACTATGTTGAAGGCCCACCTTATTCATATTTCGTGATCTTTACAGAAAAAAGGAAGGTATAGCTATGGGTTCACTAGTTTCCCCGATTGCAAAAAATTTATTCATGCACCCCCTAGAAACTAGTGCAATTACAAGAAGTGTATGTCCACCAAAGGTCTGGCTACGGTATGTAGATGACATTTTTGTTATCATTAAACAGGGTTGTTTAAAAGAATTTTTGAAAACGTTAACAACATTTCGGATGGAATTAAACTAACGAAGGAAATAGAGCCCGTTGACCACAAACTAGCATTTCTCAATTGTTTGGTTGAGCGAAGATATAATAATAGTAATTTTAAAATAAATGTATTCAGAAAATCAACAGATTCGGAGAGATACTGGGATTTTGGTTCGTCTCTGGATTGTGTACGAAAGTCACGGTTGATAAACATCTATTTAACATAAGCATTAAGCTTGTTACAGATAAGGAAGACCAACAATATTAATTGAATAGGATTTTGTATACACTTAGGGATAACAACTACCCAAAGGAGTTTTTTAAAAACATTATTAAAAATGGAAGAAAAACTAAACTAGAATGTATACAAAAAGATTGGATGTCTACTGTAGTCATACCCTATCGTAGTGAAACATCGGAAGAAATCAAGCGGATTATAAAGAAGCATGATTTTATTAGTGTATTTCCGAACGTGTAACTATATAAGGTCGACATTAGTGAAAGTTAAGGATAGGTTACCAAGGGAAAGACAACAAAATATTGTCTATGATATCAATTGTCATGAGTGTAATGCAGCTTATGTGGGAGAAACATCCAGACAATTGGATGTAAGGTTAAAAGAAGACAAACAGTGTTTGAAAAATGTTCCTAAAACTTCAGTTGATTTAAGGAAACTTGAGAATAAGTCTGCGATAGCTTTACATGCGTTAGAAACAGAACATAGGATTAATTTTGAAGAGGCCAAAATATTTCAGAAAGGTTTCAACACTCATAAAGAAAGATTGACAGCAGAAGCGATGTATATATGGGCAAATAAAGACAGCCTAAACAGAAAGGATGGTATTCAGCTAGCAACCATTTGGCGAATATTAATTACCAAGTAATTGGACCCTTTCTACCTTTATTAAACCTGTTTACTTCACATGAATCGTTGTTTTGACCGAATCAATATGAGTTATGTTTAGCGTTACAATTATGCATTTGATGATTCTCATTTT